ATATGAAAAGTCAGAAGGAATTGGGCATAGTCAGAAAGAAATGCGAACATTAGTGACTTGCAGTGTAACCATAGAGTTCGAGATAAGTTTTGTAATTCAACTATATATCACATGACTAACCACAGGTTAGTCCTGCGGGTATCCGGGTCCTGCTCAGTACCCACCCGACCCGGGTACCCGAGTTAAACGTCCCAGTCCTAATTCATTCATTCATTATCTAAAAAAAACCTGACAAATGATATGCCACTTGTTCGTACGGGTGGAGTTTAAAAATGGTATTTTAACACTGCATAATTGTGTTGAGCAAGCCGTTATGACGGCAACGAAACTGGTTTCTCTTGTTTACCTCACTGGTGTTGTATGGAGAAACTATGTTAAAACGTTCACTCCTGTGACGAAAACCCGGGTCTTGTACCCAAATTGAGTAAAATGTGTGAAACCCATCCTTGTTCTTCCCGTCGTAATGCGGTTGAAAAATAATTATAATTGTGTTATTGGTTAAGTTAAAAACACTATCGACATAGGTGTAAGATCATCAACATAATTTAGATTCAATATGTTCTATGTACATGTTGTATTCTTACATTAAATAATATGCTTTATTCATTGACGACATGGGACAATCTCCCCCACCCCTCCACACACACACACACACATGCACACACAAACGCTTTTACCGGCCTGATGCCTTGGTGCTGTTTTGTATCGAATATAACATCACATCATCTGCGAATCGTTACAGCAACAGCGATATTCGTTTACATAATAATATGTTCACCAACAGATTGTTTAATTACATATTGCTGCACTTACCATGTCTTCTCCAGAGTGAAAACATACGGCAGGGCAGGAAATCAAGCTAAAAATGTTTCTTCGTGAAAAGTCTTCATAATGCACATGACATACCAACGTTTTAAACGCAGCGTTCAAAGTAGCGCGTGGATAATATAAACATGATAAATAGGGGTCAAAGCCCATTGTAATCTCGATTTTAAGTGAATTCTAAACAGCTTGTTGAACTAAATTTAACATGCACCGGTGCATTTGATAAAGTTAGCGTCGTCTGCTTCGATCCATAGAGTCTGTATTACGCGCAGGAAAAACTCGTGTAACGGAAGTGTTTCCCGATTGGCTAAGCTCGTAACCATGACATCACGTGACTATTCTGGTGAACACCTGCATGAAATATACAACACTTCTAACCTGATTTGACATTTGTTTATATAAACAAGCTTAACCGACAAAGCCATTGGCGGTGGGTTTGTCTAGCGAGGTGAAAGCGTTGTCTCGTCACACCAATTCACCACATGGGTACACCATGTAGAGCCGATTTTGACGCCCCTCTCCGTAATATGGCTTGGATTTGGTTCCAAATTTCGCAAATGATTTTGTAATAATAAATGGTAGTTTTTAGCGGTATTCATCATAATAGAATGGAGATGTAATACAGTGGATGCTCGACCATGAGTTGCCAAGCGCCTTAACATTTTCCTGCATTTAAGCATAATGATGATTATGAAAAAGAAATATCACAGAATTATGAACAATATGCATAAAGTATCACACGAGCAAAAACATTAACTGAGGGTCAAAGGAGACTGAGTATACCGAGTTTGTTTTTTATGTAATGGAAAATTATTGAAAGAACTGTTGTTAAATTTGATAACGTCTATTTAACCATCACTCATTCCTGCAACAGTTTGGGAAAAGTAATCTGTGGCTGAATAATTTTGTGTAAAAATATATTGGTTCGATGAAGACTAGGGTAGGAAATGAACTTGCAACCACATGACCCCTAACATGTTTGAAGTGTTGTTAATTCATGCCGAAAAGAGCAAATTTATTGTTTTTCAAGAAAAGATATCAAAGATACCCAACAACGAAATTCATATATAGTCGGTCCCTTAGAAAGTATATATTGTGAGCCAGTTTTAAAGAGACCAAATAGCTTGGTACATTCCAGTGTGGGCGTGTGTGCGTGTGTGTGCGTGCGTGTATGTGTGCGTCCCGAAGTCGTTTCCGGAGCATAACTCAGAAACCGTTAAATATTTCTCTACGAAACTTTGCACGTCTATCAGACTCATGCTGAACTGGTGCCTTTTGCTGTTTAGGAATTTTGTAAATTTTTATTTTTTACGTTTCCATGGCAACAAGTTGGACTTAGGTTCTATAAGGGTGCTGTTTGTTTCCGGAGCGTAACTCCAAAACCGTTAAATAATTTCTTACAAAACTTTGCATGTTTACCAGACACATACTGAACTGGTGCCTTTTGCTATTTAGGAGTTTTATAAATTTTTATGTTTTACGTTTCCATTGCAACAAGTTGGACTTAGGTTCTATAAGGGTGGTGTTCGTTTCCGGAGCATAACTCAAAAACTGTTAAATCCTTTCTTACAAAACTTTGCATGTCTACTAGGCACATACTGAACTGGTGCCTTTTGCTATTTAGGAATTTTATAAATTTATATTTTTTACGTTTCCATTGCAACAAGTTGGACTTAGGTTCTATAGGGTAGAGTTTGTTTCCGGAGCATAACTCAAAACCCATTCAATACTTTCCAACAAAAACTGTGCAAGTTTACCAGACACATACTGGACTGGTGCCTCTTGCTATTTAGGAATTTTAGGAATTTTTATTTTTCACGTTTCCATGGCAATAAGTTGGACTTAGGTTCTACAGGGGTGGTGTTCGTTTCCAGAGTGTAACTCAAAAACCGTTAAATACTTTCTTACAAAACTTTGCATGTCTACCAGGCACATACTGAACTGGTGCCTTTTGATATATAGCACTTTTAGAAATGTTTATTGTTCATGTTTCCATGACAACAAGTTGGATTTAAGTTTTAATATAGGATTGGTTTACTTAAGTAGTATAACAAATAAACTGTTAAATATTTCCTTGCCAAACATTGCATGTCTATATATAAAGCGCATACTGAACTAGTGCCATTTGATATTAAGGAGTTTTAGAAATGTTTATTTTAGAATTTCCATTGCAGCTATTTTGACATGGGCTAAGAGAAATGTTGGGTCAGTTACCTGGTTTGGGGCCATAACGTGTTAAAATGGGCGGGATATAGATGACTTTGTCAACTATACGCTTGTTTTCACTAAGAAAGTGTTACCCCATGTTTTAACATTTGTTACATTTGACCACTTTCTAAACGGCATTGTGAATTCGTAGCTTTCGGCCATGTGCCACTTCACACTTGTCAGAGGGGTTTCACAAAGTACCCGATCTAGACTTACCAGTTGTCCCGGACGGGACTCAACCCCAAAAAGAATGAGAATCTGTACTTAACTAAGAAAGTGTTATCCCAAATATAACATTTGTTGTATTTTCTTGTACTCTTTCATCATGAAAAGTATTTACCTAGTAGTTTCAGAGGCAAAACAATACAAATATCACAAGTATCTAATTTATTTTATTCATTATATCGGTTCATATTTTTCACATTTACCGAGAGTTCTATTTCCATAATAAACACACCATGGCTTCTGCCCCTTGCAATATGACGTCATTGGTGCCAATTGATAAAGGAATGACGCCATAAGACTTTATTAGACTCGATTCACGTGGTGTAGGTACAGGTGTGTGGTTCTATCTTCTCAGATGCGCAACTTTGTTCGGTGCCGCGCTGTTCAAAACACAACGCTATGCACAATTACTCTAAATTATGTCTTTGCAAAAATCGCGACTGAGAAGACAACAATGCATGGATGACATACTGTAGGATTCGCGATGATGGTTGGAAGGGGCCGTTGTATGAATTGCACTTATTCGTTCATTTTTGTTGCGCATATTCACTCTTGCGTAGTTGCTGTCCACAGGAACTCGATATTGCTTCGTTATTGCTCTTTGTAAAAATATACGCCCCCTATACTACATAAAAGACCTTGTCTTTTATTTTTACAAAGAGCAATATCGAGTTCCTGTGTTGCTGTCGTGCAATCTTTCTCTATAACGTTTTACATTTGCCTCCTTATTGCAAGATTTCTAGTAGGGATCTGACTGTTTGCAATATTTGGTTAGTCTTTGAATATGTGTTAAATCATGTCTTGTGATTGCCTTTGATTGAAGAAGGAACGCTACCATGCCTCTTAAAACTGTAAAGCCATTAGTTGTAAACTGTTCTTGCCGAACGACTGCAATGATTTTACGTTATTTTGGGAAGCATGTTCTGTACGTGAAACATACGAAATAGCCCCAAATGTGGCGTGTGCGGGTGCAACGTCTGCAACATGAGTTGTGTCAAACACACAGAGTGTGGTCTAACCAGGGGTGGAGAACAGTTTGGTTCAGACAAGTCCAGAATCAAGAGCCAGGTGTACCGACCTTGCCATGAACATTTTACCACCAACTGCATACAGGGGTTGACAGAGTTGGCGGTGGTGTAATGATGTCGAAAAACAAGCTTGGTACTTAACGTCCCCAAGCTATTGTGATGTAATCCCACAGCCGCACATTGTTCACATGATCAACCATACTAACATCATCTTTCAATTGCAGACCACATACTGCAAGTGTAACAGCGACATTCCTACAGAACCATGATGTACAGGTGACCCTTTTATCACCAGGTTTGAACTCATCATGAACCACAGACCCTGCACATGCACTTCAGGTCAAATTGGCTAACATTCACAAGGCATGTTCCTTCTCTCAGGACATGCCAGGCAGTACTTGAAGCTAATGGGGGACACAGGTAATAGAGTTCTCCTGAACCTGGCCACGTGCCCTCTGTTCATCTGTGTTCAAAATGTCATCACTCATCCAGCTTCAGATATGTAGTAAATAGGTGTTGCCAAACTCACATAACATGTTTCTGTTTTTTGTAAAGTCTATTAGAATAGGTTGGATAGTCATAGGAGTAGGCCCACCAAGACACATATACAAAGAGAACATAATCTGATGCCAGTCCTGCTGTGTAATGCTCTACAATAATGTAAATGTTTGACACTTGTGAGGCAATAATTCGAATATACTGGAACGCAACTCCTCAGTATTGACATTTTATTAAATAGCTACGATAGCCAAACACACAAACACTTGCTGATACAACAAATTACAACATGAAATTTGGTAGTTATATGAACAATCTCAGTAAAATGAGATCTTTGACTCTGATATCACCTCTGTCAAGATCTGTGGACACCTCCAGTAAGCAATAGAAGGTGCCATTAAGTAAACCCTAAGGGGTTTGGCCTTCACACATTGTACCCATGTGGAGAATCAAAGCCAGGTCTTCTGTGTGACGAGCAAATACTTGAACAACTAGGCTACTGCACCGCCCCTTAAACACCAACAACACTATATTGGTGAAGCTTTATCAATTTGCATGCTTGTCTGAATGTTTCGTTCACTTGTACCAAAGATTTACACGCCTCTACTTGAATTGACTGATGAGAAAGTTCACCTGACGTGATCTGCTATGGAGGTGTCCTCAGATCTTCGTGCAGAGAGGTTAAAATATCGGACTTTAATGAGATTGTGATATGAAAATGTTGGATGAAACATTTTGTTCAGTGAGTTGCCACGGCAACATCAAGGCAAGAAATGAAGGGATGATAACCATGAGCTAGAAGATTCAGAGACAAGGACTGTTAACAATCAGCTCATGTTCAGGTGGTTTGTGGATGCAGACTTCTTTCCATAAGATACATGTGCCATGGTAATGGTGCGATAGCCCTCTACATGCAAAGCAAATGCATAGCTTCACTTTCTGTGTAGTCTTTTTACCATTCTACAGCAAACTAAAACTTTGTATTTTGAAATAGACATAAACAAGGGCAAAAGTGAGCGTGGCTCACTAATACCCCCGACCTGCCTAGTGTGTCAGTAGTTTCAAATTAAATAGCTAGGATAGGGTAAGGGTTTGAAAAATTCAGAAAAAAATGGACTGCACCCCTTCATGTGACACAGATTATATGTACTAAGTTTGAGATGAATCCACTGAATAGTTTAAGAGAAATCGTGCAGACAAAGTTTTCGGACGGACGGACGGAGCCTTGGTATAACTATATACTATATAAATAAATATTAACAGTAAACAATCTACACAAATAAAAACTAGTTACAAAGCATATCATAAGCAGCCTGTGTGAATTATATTGAAACAAGAAAAAATATTGTAATTAATTTGTGAAACTTCAAGACTGTACTTCGTACAACAAACACCAAATGCTGGTCTTCAGTACTGGTGAAATATGAACCTGAACATTTCAATGATTATGCTGGGTGGGTTACAATCTATTTATTATGCACTAACATTTACATACCAGAGTAGCAATAATACTAAATGAACAAAAGAAAGTTGGCCTTAGTTATAGTATACTGTTTGTAAGCATAACACAGGGAATAGGTCATTTCATTAAAATTTGGGAAATCTTGATAATAAAAGTAATGCATGGCTTCCTATTGCATAGTTATCTCATGCTTGTGTATTGTGTTAGAATAAAACCTTCTGTGAACAATGTGAAGTAGGGCTTGGATGGTTAACTCAGGTACTTGGGTCGGGTGGGTACCCACAGGACTACCCAGGCCCATGGTTAGTCACATGATATATTGTGTAATGACAAAAAATATCTGGAACTCCAAGACCATGGTTACACAACAAGTCCCTAACTTTCACATTTCTTTCTGACTATGCGCATTTCTTCTGACTTTGATATGCTTGAGTAAAGATAAAGCTTCAATCAACTTCAGTGTACACATGATCAGATCGTTTTATACCTGAATGTAAATACTTTTTGCCAGGTCTCCGGTCAAACAATTCCCAACCAGACATTTTGTACCCATCTCTTGAGACCTACAGCAGGTACACGGGCAGGGACGGGTAATAGGGGGTGGAGTACCTGGGTAGTAAATTTGGACTCGACACAGCCCTAATGTACAGTCACTGAGGTAAGCTTGGAGGACAGCTTCTTCCTACTTTGTTCATGAATGGCTGCTGTCAGGCCCTTGTTTGTGAACTCATGAAGGTAGGCACACACATGACTTATGACCCTCACAGACATACATTATATGTGGAACAGTCCCATGTATGGAGATATATGCAGACTAGAGAATGTTGAAATAAAACAATAACAACAGTAAAAACATGACATAACTGAACATGATCAACTTCAGGCATTATATCACAAATGTGATTGGCGCTAGCTAAGCTCACTTCGTGGCAGCAATATCACAGTCTCTTTAACTAAGTACAATTATAAGACACAAAGGTATTCACTTCAATCTTGCTCCTACATCTGCTACCAATGTAGCCTGCTCATACATAATGAAGATCACCACACAAACAGATAATCAGACATCATTGTCTGCATGTTTTCTTGTATAATAATAATATGGACTCCATAATAACACCATCCTGTTCTTTAACTAAATAGGAACAATTAATGAAATATCTTCATCAAATTCATAACTCCAAAGGATGTCCACTTATCAGAGAATTGATGAAGTGTGTGAGCAGGGCTTTACCCCCCACCTTTAGCAATTGTGAAAGCAATGTCATCACTGGGTACACAAGACATGTAAGAAATGATTAGTATTAGAGAGTATAATTATCCGATTTCTTTCTGAATCATATCTTGTCTTGAAGACCGCCTCCGTGATCTAGTGGTAGAGCATCCGCCCGGAGAGCTGAAGATCCGGGGTTCGATCCCTGGCCCTGTCATACCAAAAGAGGGTACTTGTTGTTACTCTAGCGCTCGGCATTAAGGGGCTAAAACAAGGACTGGTCGGCTTGGAGTCAGTATACTAAGTCTGAGTGGGGTATTCATGTTAAACTGCAACATGGTATCTATGTGGGCTAGCACTATAAATCAGCATCAGTCTGGACTAGCGCAAGCAGCCACACACACACACACATGCATGCACGTAGCTATATAAGTGCAATAATCTTGGACGTGACGTTAAAACCCATTTCACCTCACCAGCTCACCTCTTATCTTGAAAAACTAACAGAGTGGCTTCATGGACAGGAAACGTGAACAGATTTCTGCATAACTTTTTCACATAATACATTACTATTTGTACAAAAAGAAAAGAAAATGACAAATATCAGTTTTGGAAAACGTCCTATACGTGGAAATAGTTACCATGGAATGAAACAAGAAGATGTCCTGACAAGAAGTGCTGAATGTCACACAAATGTAATGACTGCTTAGGAAAGTAGATTATGATGATGTTGAAATGCATGGTCTTTGTGGAGTTGGAAAGCATCAGCTTGTTCAGCTATCCACCGAGTACAATGTAGTTATGTCCCACTTGCTACACGTGCTGCCAGATTCCCATACACCAGTAACACAGGGCTGTAGAACATCTCATGTCGACTGACACGGAGATCACTCAGTTGCTCCTGAGCATCCAACAGCACTGATAGAAACTAATATTGAGTCCACTAGTCCTTATAATGATAATGTATAGCAAAACCTTTACAAATTTCTACTCATCCTCATGATACCTTCACTATTGGGCAGTTTGAAAAGGGCTATAGGACATACACTGGGAATGGGATTTAGTCATTTCAGGTTAATTGTCCACTATATATATCACTTGCCTGAACATAGTAATATACAGAAACATTTACTAGCATATTTGGTCCTCAATTCTCGTTCTTCACCAGCTTCAGCTCCTGTCTCGTTGAACTTCAGGTACATAATTCCAAACGACACATAAACCTGAGTGCAAATGGTATGGGTCATTTGGATTTCAAGCTTTGAGCAGATGTTTTGAGTAGTGCAATGTGCGTTCATCTGTGGGAACGTGTGCCTCTTGGTGCTGTGTGCAGGTTGAGCACCTGAAGGGCTGACAGTTGTCAGTGTGGCCGGTGCTAGTGAAGAGCCTGGACATCCCGCTCATCCTTCATCTGGTTGGCATTCTCATCCATCTCCTCACAGAGCTCCTCATCCCTGCAACCATATACATGGAAGACTTACACTAGTCAAGAATATTCCAGCTATATGATGGCAGCCTGTAAATAATCAAGTCTGGACCAGACAATCCAGCAATCACGAGCATCGATCTACGCAATTGGGATACTAGATCAGTGAGTCTGACCACCCGATCCATTTTGTCCACTCTTATGAGCAGCAAAGGTTGCTTGGGACCAATTCTAACCCAGAAGCCCCACAGGGGAGCTGTTAGTGAACTTTATCTGGTTGTGTCTGATCAATCTGCATTTTGCTAGTTTCAACATTTGTAATTTAGTAGATCTGCGAAATATTTTCACTAAACCTTGTCTCCAAGCTCTGGTATTTGTTTTGTCAATGGTGGCAGCCTATTTTGCGTAAATTGTTATCAAGTTATTGTTAAGTTATCTTTGGTTGTTCCATTACAATATCATGAAGGTCCCATGATGGAGGGGCATAAAGTCACAGAGAATGGCCACCCGATCCATTGAGTCGCCTCTTACCACAATGCTGTTGGGGACCTATGGTAATTAGATGATATACACTGCTTACTGTAACAAGAAACCTGTTTCTATGTAATATGCAGTACTGTAAAAGTAACATGATGGCTAACTGGTGAACATCATGTGGATCACATGCCTTCAACATATAGCCACTAGTCTGCTGACATGTCAATATGCTTTCAACATATGTGTTGTCTCTTGAGGTATTAAAATGATGCCAAGCCACAAACTGCAGACAAGTCTAACTGATGCCAGTTTTCTATACACTAACATCTTGTAAAGTGTACACTACCTGAGTTTGACGTTGATGTCAAAGCCCTTATCCATGCTGAGTTTGATGACAGGTGTGGAACTACGTGAACCACTGCTGTCTGACTGTCTTTCTATCATGCTGAGCCGGGACAGCTGGCCGTCGGCTGAAACACATACATTCAATAGTTGAACAGGCATCTCTGATGTGGACAGTGACACATAACACATACATTCAACGGTTAAACAGAATCTCACATTTGGACAGTGGCACACCACACACACTCAACAGATATACAGACATCTCACACGTGGACAGTGGCACACCACACACAAACTCAACAGATATACAGACATCTCACACGTGGACAGTGGCACACCACACACACTCAACAGATATACAGACATCTCACACGTGGACAGTGGCACACCACAAACAGACTCAACAGATGAACACACATCTCACAGGTGGACAGTGGCACACCACAAACAGACTCAACAGATGAACACACATCTCACAGGTGGACAGTGGCACACCACAAACAGACTCATTAGATGAACACACAACTCACACATAGACAGTGGCACCCCCCACACACGACAGATAAACAGACATCTCACAGGTGGACAGTGGCACACCACACAAACTCTCAACAGATGAAGACATCTCACAGGTGGACAGTGGCACACAACACACACACTCAACAGATGAAGACATCTCACAGGTGGACAGTGGCACACCACACACACTCAACAGATGAAGACATCTCACAGGTGGACAGTGGCACACAACACACACACTCAACAGATGAAGACATCTCACAGGTGGACAGTGGCACACAACACACACACTCAACAGATGAAGACATCTCACAGGTGGACAGTGGCACACCACACACACACACTCAACAGATGAAGACATCTCACAGGTGGACAGTGGCACACATAACATAGACTTGGTCTCTGGAATGATCTCAATTTAAAATATTTGACAGTAAAATCTGTATCATGAACAAACAGATTAGATTAATTAGTCATGAAATCATTCTGATATATCAAAGAAAAATAAACTTAAACAGAAGACTGGTATTTTAAGAGGAGATGGTGTCAACAAACATATGTAGTAAACATGTGAGAGCTTGTTAAGAAGTTGTGCAGCCTATACAAAAAATACTACTCAATTTTAATACATTCTGAACAACATAGGATGATCTGGATATTAATATCTGCCTTCATACGCTTGTGTTGAAGTGTTGGTCAGTACCTGTGATTCTGCCCGACTCGGACGCTAACTCCCACTCTAACTGGTTGAGTGTTTCCTCATCATCTTCATCATGGTAGCGGGTAACATTTACATCATCATACTGTGTCAGATCCTCCCCATCCATTACTACAAGCATACAAGACAACAGGTGTACTAAACAAGTATACTCAACATGGGTACTCCATAGCTGGGACGTCATTACCTGACATTTAAATTATGCTTACATATATACCATCTAAAACTAACTGAATGTTCATGCTTGTTTGTAACTGGCTTCCCGTGGGCATGCTGTCGTAGAACACATCTCCAGGGCCCCACACTTGTCATGAGAGACAACCAATCTGAGGCTGTCAGAGTGTGACATTGTGCCTCATGGACCACTGCTTTCAAACACTGGGTTGTCTGTGACATTGTGCCTCATGGGACACTGCTGTCAAGCTCTGGTTTGTCTGTGACATTGTGCCTCATGGACCACTGCTTTCAAGCCCTGGTTTGTCTGTGACATTGTGCCTCATGGGACACTGCTGTCAAGCTCTGGTTTGTCTGTGACATTGTGCCTCATGGACCACTGCTTTCAAGCTCTGGTTTGTCTGTGACATTGTGCCTCATGGACCACTGCTTTTAAGCTCTGGTTTGTCTGTGACATTGTGCCTCATGGACCACTTCTGTGAAGCTCTGGCTTGTCTGTGACACTGTGCCTCATGGAACACTGCTTTCAAGCCCTGGTTTGTCTGTGACATTGTGCCTCATGGACCACTGCTTTCAAGCCCTGGTTTGTCTGTGACATTGTGCCTCATGGGACACTGCTTTCAAGCTCTGGTTTGTCTGTGACATTGTGCCCCATGGATCACTGCTGCCAAGCTGTGGTTTGTCTGTGACATTGTACCTCATGGACCATTGCTTTCAAGCCATGGTTTGTCTGTGACATTGTACCTCATGGATCACTGCTGTCAAGCTCTGGTTTGTCTGTGACATTGTGCCTCATTGAACACTGCTTTCAAGCACTGGTTTGTCTGTGACATTGTGCCTCATGGGACACTGCTGTCAAGCTCTGGTTTGTCTGCTTCGTGCCCCATGGACCACTGCTTTCAAGCCCTGGTTTGTCTGTGACATTGTGCCTCATGGGACACTGCTGTCAAGCTCTGGTTTGTCTGTGACATCCTGCCCCATGGACCACTGCTGCCAAGCTGTGGTTTGTCTGTGACATTGTACCTCATGGACCATTGCTTTCAAGCCCTGGTTTGTCTGTGACATTGTACCTCATGGATCACTGCTGTCAAGCTCTGCTTTGTCTGTGACATTGTGCCTCATGGATCACTGCTGTCAAGCTCTGGCTTGTCTGTGACACTGTGCCTCATTGAACACTGCTTTCAAGCACTGGTTTGTCTGTGACATTGTGCCTCATGGGACACTGCTGTCAAGCTCTGGTTTGTCTGCTTCGTGCCCCATGGACCACTGCTGTCAAGCTCTGGTTTGTCTGTGACATTGTGCCTCATGGGACACTGCTGTCAAGCTCTGGTTTGTCTGCTTCGTGCCCCATGGACCACTGCTGTCAAGCTCTGGTTTGTCTGTGACATTGTACCTCATGGACCGTTGCTTTTAAGCACTGGTTTGTCTGTGACATTGTACCTCATGGACCACTGCTTTCAAGCTCTGGTTTGTCTGTGACATTGTGCCTCATGGACCACTGCAATCAAGCCCTGGTTTGTCTGTGACATTGTGCCTCATGGACCACTGCGGTCAAGCCCTGGTTTGTCTGTGACATTGTGCCTCATGGACTATGCAGAGTTTGACCTTATAGCAATACCTATATTCCAGCTAACAAGTGGTAAATAGTTTATGTTTTATCCAGGCATCAAGTATGATTGTCTGTATCAACGTATTTCATCAATTAATACATTGTTCCAAATCTGCTTTGAGTGTTTTCATTAAGATCACTTTTTAACACAGGAAGGTATGATTACTTACTGTGTACCTTTTATAACTGCCTATTCCTTTAAGTGGGTAATTATATTTCTATTTATGCTAAAGCTAGGAGCTTCTGCCCAGTTTTACTACCTATTCCAGACCTGTCAACCCCTCATCATGACAATGTTGGAGATTTGGCTTCAAAATGGGGGAGATATGCCCCCAAAAGGAGAGCTTTATAAAATAGTGAAGATAAGATAATTTCCACAAACCAAAAATTTTAAAACAATAAATAATGTATAACTTCTTATATGTACAGCTTGCTTAATTTCCGTTTTTCATTTCATTTTCATCCTCCAAGAATAAACCAAGCACAATCTACCCACATCACTTTAATTCAAAGATCATCTCAGATAAACGTAAACAGATATTGAAATTTAACGATCGGTAGCTTGACCAGGTGACATCGTGTTCAATCCAACCAGTTGTCAGGGTTCGTAATAATGCAGGTTTTCTGAGAATTTGGCGCCAATTTTGTTACAAAATATGCCAAAGAAATATCAAGTGCATTTATCCTGACACAACGTGATCGCCCCTAATTTCAATAAGATATATTGTTTATTTCTGTCTACGGTAGTCTGTTGACAGTCCCATTAAGGGGCACTGATCTAACACAATTCCCCGGACTGGTTGTTGCCTTTGTTATTGTTTTTTCCCCCGTGAGTACCCGGATGATACGCAACGCAACTGAGCGTGACCAGAGACTGGGCTACCGTCTGCAAGGACAGCTAAATAAACTTGGAGGCTAGAGGCAATATTTGTTTTACGCATTTTTGAACGCTGATTGGTTAACTGTGATCTATAAAGATTTGGACAAAGGGCGCATGTTAATTAATTTCTTCAGCCTAAACAAACAGACAAAAAGAACGGCTTAGCTTATCGGATGTCGTCATTTGGAAATACCCCAGATGGTTATAGTTTAATCATAAAAAAAAGTATCCATGCAGTGAAAGCATTTTCGGATTTTGGATTGCGTCGATAATATGATTACTACTCCCTTGTTGTCATCCACGTTTTCTGGTATCACCCTAAACTTGTGTATTTGTCATCATGCACATGATGCTCAGTTAATGAATTTATTACAGGTATAATTACTTGTAGCACCACTCAGATTACCTGACAAAGGTTCCCATTTGGCATTTATGGTGTCTGGGGTAATTATTCAATCTAAATCCAGGTTTGAAGTGAGGTGAAATGTGTGTTATGTAATATGCACGTGGCAGCCCAGCAAGAGGTGAATGATCAGTTGATTTACTTTTTTTGTAAATCAACGGATCGTTCCTAGTCATCAAAGGATTAACAGAAAATACGTTGATTGATTAATCACTGTTATCTTGCACAGTGGATATGTCAAAAGTGAGTGTTTACATGTCTAGGTTTACTAAAACAAAGCGAATACACTCATATCATGGCGTGAAGTGCCGATGTAAAAACAACATACTTTGTTCAAAGGGTTAACTGATAATACGTTGATTGACTGCTCATTGTTACCTATCACTCAATGGATTTTTTAGGAACCGTGGACGTTGTGAAAATAGGTGTCAAGTGGGCTTTCTCAACCGACCCTTGAGATTTGACACCTATGTGAAACACCTGAAACAATCTAAGTGATCAGTTGAGAAACGAACACGGGTTATATCCCGAAACGATATATATCTTTTAAAATATTTGATTATTACAGAGACACATGACATCGAATAAGTTTCTTTGTACAGCTGCAGACGAGTGGGATATTGTTCCTTTGTGTAGATATTCACAGATACATTACTCGAACAAGGAAGCTGCCTAAAATTTATACACATAAAACTGGTAGGTTGTAATTATGGTATTTGCATTTTGTTTTCCTTCATTTGCTGAAGCATTGAACCGATTCGTTCTTGTTCCTCTATGTCTTGGTTGGGAAATTCTTCAATGCGCAATAGACGTTGTTTTCACAAGTCTTTTCCTTTGTAAGCGTGTATATATTACCGTCAATTTGTAAAATGTGATTCTCTCAGGCAATTTATAAAATGTGTAAATAATTCAGTCATTTTGACTGAAAAATCTGTCCAGATTGATTACAATTGATTAAGATGATCAAAAGGGCCTAAAAACATCACAACAGATTATTATGTAGGATTAGAAGCCAAACAACATAGAATGTACTTTTCAACGTAACATTTTCACTCCTTGGTGATGAAATTAAACATCAAAATGTTTGGAATTCGTTATCATAATAATACAGATGGAAATGGTTTTCAGTCACTTTGTAAAATAACTGAATATTTAGGCGTTTAATAAATTTGAAAATGTTACACATTTTGACAGTAAAAAAATATACACACTATAAAAAAAGCAATGCTCAGGTGAAATATTTACTTTGTGTTGCAAGTCAAAATAGTTTAAACGAAAATCGCAAAATTACCAAGCAAGTGACTTATCAAAACTTTGTCACCATTACCGATGCTACCCACAAAGATACCTACATTTCCTTATTATCTCGAAAACTGGATTTCATTTTGTTGATCAATGTGACCATACGCCCTTATTACTACCCATAAAAGTGACTAATGCGCTTACGAACGGCGCAGAAGAGGTTGCGAACTAGTCTAGATTTCTGCTATACATCCAGGTACTCACTGGGAAAAAACAATAACAAAGGCAACAACCAGTCCCGGGGAATTGCTTTAGATCAGTGCCCCTTTAATTCGTTAGAAATCTTCACGTTATTCCATTCCAAGAAATGTATGCCATATTTGGAAGTACTATTACGTTTTACTACAATTTATGAATAAAATGAGTCTCGTTGTCGTTGTTGACCTTTCTGCCCTTGACATGCCTTAATCTGATTGGTTGACTAGTACTGTTGTATGCAAATTAGATTGCAGATCTGGGATGCTAGCAAACTATTAGCCAATCAAATCGTGTAAAATAATCACAGGATACATTCTTGTGAAATTTGATAAAGTTCTATGTGTTGATATTTCTGTGCAAAGAAGTTACGATGTCAGTCAAAAGGAAATTTATAAGTCTCACTTTAATGTGGAAGCCCACTCTATGTGGAAGCCCGATTGTTTAACACATTTATTTCTACTACTGAATCAACCAATCATGCATAGTGTTGTTTCTGAAGACGGCGCTTGCAGGTTATATTTTGTTTTCATTTAGGAGAGTTTAATGATGTAACTTTGAGGTAAATTGATGTTTTGACAGAGTTTCTTACAAATTTGATAACCAATTCAGTCATGTATAACTGGACCGGCTGTATGTATCTACGTTCATAAATTATGGAGGAATAAACACACTAAGAACACGAAGACAACAGTTCATTTCAGTAAGTGATGAATACTTGGCTGATTATTCATTTAAAGTTCAACCCTTCAGGCACCTGTTAGGACTATCCAAGTTTTCTTTACAATTTACATTGTTAAATCATTCATCATATGAATTCAATTACCAGTTTATTCCCTGACAAAAGCCCATCTCGGTCCCCCTGCGGATGGCCGTGATAGCAGTCGCTAATCCGTGAGCCTACCAGACAGATCCGGACGTAAACTGTAAACTGTTCTTTGTTTTTACTCACAGGATAATGGAGGCGAATTTTTAAAATAATGAAGAATTATGTTTTGCGGGAGAAATAGTCCATCATATGGGAGACTGGGTGATTTCATCAAATTGCGAGAGGGTTGACAGGTCTGCTTATTCTAGCTGATGTTCCCAAAGCCAATACTTGCATGTATCAACAGAATGTGCTGACAATGAGGAATCAGAGAGATTAAGTTATATAATTAGACTTCAGGGTAAAAAAACACAAAAGATATCATGATTGAATTTTAAGAAAGTAAAATAAAAAATCGCTTTAAAAAGGAAATGAGATGATGAGTACATCTATAAAACAAAAACACACACCAAAAAGCAATAGGTCTGCCCATAATATGTCAGATCTGATTAGTGCTGAATTAGTGTTAGGTTCTGGCAAGGTTCCTATAAGCTGTGACACTCACCGACAGCTTGAGATATCCGACCAGATTCCTCTAGTTGTGACTGCGGACGGGAAACTGATTCTTCTAGTTGTGACTGCGGACGGGAAACTGATTCTTCTAGTTGTGACTGCGGACGGGAAATTGATTCCTCTAGCTGTGAGTGGTGAGTGGGACCTGATGCTTGGATAGTGCTGGAGGAGGCCCTGCTGGACAAAACACTCTTCTTTCCACGCCTTGATTCCGACCTTGATTCCGACCTTGTTTCTGACCTTGTTTCCAAACTTGATTCAATTCCAGACACACTCCGTCCTTCTGACTGAAACTCTGACTGTGCCTGCTTTTCAGATCTGGATTTTGCAGGTCGACTTGACCACTGGTCAGATGCTTTCCTTGACTGGCTACGCCTTGGACTAGATACACTCCTTATAGGTGTGGTGGACCTAAATGTGGTGACAAAGTGACTGTTTGTTTCATGGTCACATAATCCTTCAGTGACACCTGCACTAACAATAAGCCACTGCTAAGTCGTAAATACAGTAATGGACACACTACCAACTGCTTAATACTAAGGAGCTTATTTCTTCATGCTTATGTCATAACTAAATTACCTTGGGAAGTTGCCAAAGGTTATTGTACACTACTCAGCACTTTCTGGTCAAATGCTCCTGTCTTGCAGATACATGACATACATAAGTTCTACTTAGAAAACTAGTAAAATCCTAGATATTTTTATATTTGTATACTTATCCTGCATTACTCCTTAATGCATATTACTTGCTTCTTGACAGAGAAAAGAGCTGTGTGAGAGGTCTTTGCTTGAAGAAGCTGTTCCAACAAACTGAGAGGACAACCCTATCACGCAGCTCCCACGTGACCAAAGGAAGTGACGTCACTGATCCTCACATTACTCTGAAGTCTGAAACATCGGAAGGCATCGTGGGGAGGTAGATCTGCGATGGTTGGTACCATTTAGACGCAGTAATGCAGGATAAGTATCATATATAAAAAATATCTAGGATTTTACTTGATTTTTTACTTATCCTGCATTTCTCCTAAATGCATCTTTATCAGACAGAATCGGTGGAGGGCATACCTTCAGATGTGGGCTTTCATCTTTTATTTCCAGACTCAGTTCCCTAGCCAGTCTTTGGCTATGTGGTTGGCATCGGGTGACCACTCCATGTACGGGAAACCTCCAACTCCCTCAGCCCGTCCTCGGCTGTGTGTTCGGCGTCAGGTGACCACTCCATGTATGGTAAAAACTCCGTTTCCCCCAGCCCGTCTTCGGCTGTATGGTCGGCCTGGATGACCATTACATGGAAGGGAAGAGGCAGGTATGCATTGTGTCCTGGTACTACGCAGCCTGACAGTAACTCTCAGTTAGGTCGAGACTGGAGCACCGAGCTGTATGCAAGTGGGGCATGAACCTTCTAGTCCAGGGCATATGCCAGGGTAGGTCGAAAGGCTGGCTCTGGACTTAGTGGTGACCTCGCCAGAGGGCGATCGTGTTGCGGCTGACTTCTGGCCGCGAGGTTGCAGGTACCGGTACAAAGAGGCATCATCATTGTCTACAGCGTTCCTTGGATCGTCTGATGTAGCAATGGAGCGCTCTAACCGGACATAGGCGGAGCTCTTGTTCGTCTTCCGCGCCCACAATCAATGATGGGGGGAAGAGGAACGATCTATTGGGCTGTCCTGGGAGCTGATTCTTTGCAATGAAGTCCCAGCACAGGCCTAGATGCACAGCTCCCTGTGCTCCAAGCTCAAAGCAGACCTGTGTGACGTTCAAGGAGTGAAGCTCACTGACACGGGCTGCTGTGGAGCGCCAATTGGAAGACCCGTCTTTTTCGTCAGATTATAGAATGACGCTGTTTCAAGTGGCTCGAAAGGCGCGTCTCTCAGTGACGTGAGAATGACGTTCAAGTCCCAAGCTTGGGGACGGAATTTCGCCTTTTGGTCTTCCAGTCTGAAAGAGCAGAGCAGAGCCTGGAGTTCCGGGATTTTCGTCATGCGCCGATCCTTCGTAACTGCCAGGACGGAGTTGAGCGCCACAAGGTAGGTGATGATGGTACTGCCCTTGAGCTTATGCTTGTGGTGCAGATGGAGCATGAACCCGGCCAAGAATTGAGGCGATGCAGAAGTGGGGTCCTGTTCTTTGTCCTGCAAAAGCTCTTAAAGGATTGCCACTTATCATCATAGAGGCTCCTGGTGGTTGGGCGATGTGCCATAGTAATGGCCCTAGCCGCTCTGGCCCTTGGCATTCATTGCTTTCTGTAAATGGACCAGACGTGAAGACACAGCTTGTCTGGTCCTGGGTGTGGCTGCCTGCTGTGAGGGTGGATCAGCAGATTTGGCCAATCTGGTAGTGGCAGTGGGTTGGCGTCGGACAGCTCTCCGAGGTCGACGAACCAAGCGCTAGCTGGCCACCAGGGTACAACCAAAGTCAGATCAAGCTTCTGCATCAATCTGATCTTCTGGACGACTTTGGGGAGGAGTACAGGTGGCGGAAAAGCGTACGCTTTTACTCCTTCCCAGGGGATGCTGAAAGCGTCAACTGCCCAAGCCAGGGAACATCTGAACTGGACGCAGTTGGAGCCTTCCTCTGTAGGTCAAGTCCTGTACTGAGGTTAGGAGGCCCAGGAGACTTGACACTGGTGCAGAGTTCTTGGTAGGTGGAGCGCCGGAGTCAGGTGCGCCTGCATGCACTCCCACCGGTCTCTGGGTACAGAGGAGGTTGAGGTGCGTCTGGAAGAGGCCCCCGATGAACTGGAGGTGTCCACTCTGACTTCCTGTGGTTGATCTTCTACCCCAGCTGGTACAGGAGCCGGAGGGTGAAGTCCCTGTGGCGGAGTAGAGTGGCCGTGTCCCAAAGGTTCATCTATGTACGCCTCAAACTAAATATCCACAGGGTCGAAAAAATTCCAAATGCGAGAACCGCCCATTTATAATGGATTCCCATGAAGATGAAGCGGAGGAATTTCTGGTGGTCGGGATATATTGGGACATGTAGATATCCAGGCTGATGAGCACATCCTGCACCTGGATCCTGGATCGCAGTAGCCTGTGTGTGGTCATCCTGAAATAAGGTAGACGCAGCAGGTAGCACTTGTTAAAAGCGGCGAGGTTGTGGATCATCCTGTGTTTGTCCGAGTTCCTCTTGGGGACCAGGAAGACAGGTGAATAGAAGCCCTGTGTTATGGCTGGGGCGTGTACAACCTCTATGGCTTTCTTGTCTAGCAGCGCCGCGATGTTCCGGCTCAGTAGCTGCTGTTGAGTAGGGGGTATGTGTCCACTATGGGGGACGACGTGAGTGGTGGGTCGTCTATAAGCGTCAGCTTGTACCCGTGTCGGATAATGTTGGTGACATATGGGTCCCCCAGGATCTCCCAATTCTGCCTACTGGGGTGTCGACAACTTGGACAGCTGGGGGTGGGAGGTCCCAGTCGTGCCTGTCTGGCGATTCCTTTGTGTTCCCTGCGGTCAGTGTTATCTCCCTTGGGGTGGCTGCAGTGGGACTGGTATGCACCCGAGGACTTTCCTTTCCCCTGGCCGCTGCCTCGAAAGGTTGAGATGGAGCCCCGCCCCCGAGACTGGAGGGCGTTGCGTCGTGGCTGGTAGGAGCCAGACTGGGACACCTTAGCAAAGGCTGGCTGGCCAGGACCTTGAGAGCCGTCTTATCACAGGCGAAGGCTGAGACCTGGGAGCGTGTCTTGGATATCTGTCCATTAAAGAGGTCAGAGCTGGACCAAGGTTGACGAAAAAGGTCTCTTTTAAACTCTGGGTCCCAGTTCGACAAGGCAAGGTACCCAAGGTGTCTGGTGGTAGTGAGCTCGATCAGAGGGGCGCGCATATGAGAGCGCATCTGTTCCACTTGTTGTTGGAGGTAGGAAACAACCGTTGTTAGATGGTCAATCCTATGAGGGTTATCCTCCGATAAGTCCTTTAGTACTTAGCTCTGGAGGAAGACGCCATCAGTGAGAGAGGTTTGAGCATGTGGTGAATCTCGGTTTCCACATAGTTTGCTGTTGGAAACTCGGACTGAGGTGGAGCGGTTCGATCCTGTCATTCGGTGCATGTCCTCATCTAGGGTATGAGAGTGGACTGGGAAGTCATCTCGTCTATAGCGAGGGGGCCTGAAGGACAGCGTCAAGACAGTTTACTGAAGTCCTCGTCCAAGGCTGAGATCATGTCTCTGATCAGTGGGTCAGAAGGGATCAAGGTGGTCTCCGCACGAATGGCTGTCTTGCTATTGACCTCTATGCCGGGCGAGGGAGCGATTGCCTCCAATCTGTCTGCCAGCCAGTCTGTGACTTGATCTAAACCCAGGTGGGACTCGCCATCCATGGGGGTGAACCAGGGAGTGGCTCCAAGATCTATGACCCTGATGATAAGATCTGCTGTCACTCCAACATGAAGACATACTTGGGGAAGCCGAGTCCGTGGAGTGACGAGAGTGCCGAGGCGGAGGCAGAGGCGCGGGTGTCTGTACAGGCGCTGTAGGATATATAGGCGTCGTCTGAAAGGGTGCTTGAAGAGGTGTCTGCGGAGGCGCTATAGGAGGTGCTAGTAGAACTGTCTGTAAAGGCACTGGCGTCGATGGCTGTCTGGCCTGAAAGTACTGAATGTACTGAAGGAGAGAGGCGTCTATGCCATAGGCAGGGGCACCTGTTGGAGACCGAGCGTCTGTCCAGAGGATAGTATAGGCGCCATTTGGTAAGTGAGCGCCACGCCGGGCGTCAACGTGGCCACTGCCGCCGTAAGACGCTGTAGTAGTGGTCATCAGAGTGCTCTGGGTGGAGACTACGACCATGGGGTCCGACATCAAGGTAGTAGTTCAGGTCGGGGTGTAGTCATCCGAGATGGCCGATCTTGCTGGGGAATTTTCGGAGAGGTCTGACATCCTTCGCCAGTGTTTCCTGGCCTGCTGTGTTCTGTGTTTCTTAGAAACAAGGAGATACTGACTGAAAGCTGTTGGTGAAAGCAGTATACAGTCTTTACATCGGTGACCCTGGAGGCATTGAGATGTACAATTAAGGCACAGGGGGTGGGGATCCCACGCCGACATATTACGCCGGCACTTTGAGCAGGAGGACATGATATCTGCAACGAAGCAGTGTAAAATCACAATACGTCCCTGCCTGATTATGTATGCTATAATTTGTTTATCCCACTGTGTTGGTTTATGAAACAAATATTACGACAAACGTAAGACAACATACAACAAAAACAAACGATGCTTGCGAGGATACGCCAACAGTGGTGCACCAAGCAAAAGAATATAGAACGCAAGCCAGTTCATTAACTGCTGGCCACGTAAAATATTCAAGATGGCTACTTGAAACAACAAGACACCTGGCATTATGTTTTCTTTTGAGAACACTCCTGTAAGTTGTCTCATAACGTTATGCTACATGTTTATCAAACACAGAATGTACAAAATACAAACTGTAGGCACAACACAGACAAAAAACAATAACTCAAAGCGCAAACACGTGAGGGTTTGAATCAGTTTATGCTACAGCAAAAACAGGTCTTCACTCAACAAGTGACAAGAGTAATGTGAGTATGCGTGATGTCACTTCCTTTGGTCACGTGGGAGCTGCGTGATAGGGTTTGCCTCTCAGCTAGTTGGAACAACTTCTTCGAGCAAAGACCTCTCACACAGCTCTTTTCTCTGTCAAGAACAAACAAGTTACATGCATTAAGGAGTAATGCAGTATAAGTAAAAGATATATTATTGTACCTAAAGATTGTGACAAATATTATGACATAAGATGCAAATTCTGAACAATACTCAAATAGTCTGATCCTCCTCACAGGTAAGTAAAACTGTAAACTCAGAGAGGGACCCGTCATGAATAAAAATAGCCCCAAAGACAAATTGGTCCATTGTGACTCTTGTTATACATAGTTTCAACTGACCTGCTTGGGTTATCTTCCCCTGCTATACTGCTGTAGGAGGTTGTGATTGGCTGGCCTTGTGCCTGGGCACTGTAGGTGTAGGAGATAGTAGTCTCATCGTCAACTGCAACTTGGTCAAGGGGGACGACGTCACCCAGACTGCTGTCTGGTCGCCATGACCTCGGCGCCATCTGGTACACTGCAGGTACGTGAATGTTTGCCCAAGGTCATTAGATGTCATTTAGTATTATACAATTGATATTTTGACATTGTTTGCATACTCATTTTGAAATATGATCATACTGATAGAAGAAACGTCATTAGCAGTCAGATGGGTGATACTTTGACCTGATTCTACTCCTTGTAATGAAACATGAGCATGAAACATGAAAATAGGAATGAATAATATCATACTTACATCTGTTGCTAACTTTCATGACATTTTTTTTGGCCTTATCTGCTGTAGGAGTGAGTGTTCTCTCCTGAGGAGCAGGCTTGACCCCCACCATGAAGAAGTCCTCCAGCATGGGGGCGAACAAGTGGGTGTCCGTCTCCCTCAGGCGACACGCGATGTCATGCAGGGCCAAACTTGGAGTCTTTGTTAACATCCCTTCCCTGCACAAGTCAAAACGCATCATAAAATCTTTTCTCAACATTATTTTATTTTCATGTCAATTACAGTTTTATCTATTAACTCTTTGTTTATAGTTTGTTTAGTTTTATGCATTAAAGTCTCTTGTAATTCTGCAGGGAATGGCTCAACTTTTGTTTTTTCTAAAGAATGTATGTGTATACCAGTTATTCATGTATCAAAAGTTGAGATGAGGCTTTAATAAAATATCTGTCGGTCTGTCTGTCTATCAATATAACTCAAGATGAATTCAAGGCTGTTACTGAGTTTCCACATGCATGCATTTTTGTTGCAAAGTCTAGGAAGATAGTTTTGGTATTGAGTTTATTGTTATCATGGTGATACATGTCGGTTACGGAGAAAGAATGCTCCTATAGTGTTACATCATGATGATTTGATCCTTGAATGTTTTTCAAACCAATGATCAATATGGAAATTTAAAAAAATCCCCCCCCCAAAGTAGAATTGGGCTTAAGAGAGTACAGTATCATACCTAGATGATAATTGTTGGATCCATGAAGATCCGGGGTAGAATAGGTCTTCAGCAACCCATGCTTGCCGTAAAATGCGACTATGCTTGTTGTAAGAGGCAACTAACAGGATCGGGTGGTCAGGCTCACTGACTTGGTTAATGCATGTCATCAATCCAAATTGCGTGGATTGATGCTCATGATGTCAATCACTGGATTGTCTGGTCGAGACTAGATTATTTACAGACTGCCGTCATAGAGCTGGAATATTGCTGAGTGCGGCGTTAAACAACAAATATACAAACAAACAAACAATAAACTGGATAATTGTTGTAAAATTTGAACCTTAAAATTAAACTGAGGTAAACCTACCCAAGTGTTGAACCTGCTCTACTGTATGCCCTTGAATTTGCTCGAGACTGTCGGCCAGATTTGGGTCTAACAGACTGGCGAGATTTCCTTGACACTGGCCTGGATTTGGGTCTGTCCAAGCCACTGGCCTCCTCAACATGGGCTACACTAGAGTCACACCGGACCTTCTGCTTTCTCCCGGACTTTCCCCTGGAGTCTGGCACTGTGTGTAGGACTGGCGTGTCACTGTACAAGTCTACCACCACCGTCTCAGACACAGCCCGGTCTGCTGCCTGGCCAGACCTTCTACTGTAAGATTTGGATCTTGGAGTCCTTGAACTGTCTGTTGCTGATCTGCTGCTCTTTGGAGATGTACTGTCAAGGTGCAGGACATTAAATGTTACATCTACTTTTTCTGTCAGTTCCTATACACAAATAAACAGATACATGGTCTGCCGCGCTGTAGAAATGCTGCACCTAGCATTGGCATATAAATCACTGCCTATATACAGTTGAAGTTCAACAGTCAGAACTTTCTGGATTGTGAGACTATGTGGGAACATACCCAACTGTGCATCAAATGGACTTTGCAGTCAGACATTGCAGTGGTTGGATTCTAATGAGGGTGTCATCATTATTTAAATAACAACTTGTTTATTTCTTAAATACAGTAAAGCATTACTAAAGCTAACACATCATTAGTAATACTTGTCAACAAGCCAATGTAGGAACTGGTGTCATACTGTAAAATGTGAAATTAATTTGTCTCCAAAAGAATGCGACCGCTGGCCCCTAGCCAAAATTGCGACTCAATATGAATGCGACATCCCTCCTCTCAAGCATCAGTGGATTTAACAGTGATGTGGAATACATAGTTGTTTGTTTTCAGAGTATGTCAACTTGGTATTTCTGCTATCCAAAATGTCTTATTGTTGATATAAATGTGATGTTTAATAATGCGAGGAAAGACCACTCGCATTTTTCGCATTTAATACACGCTCGCGTTAATATCAAGATTTACAAGTGGACAAGTGGAATTGGTCTACAGACTGTATCATATTCTGCTGAGCCCTCCCCCCATTTCATGATAGATACTTTTCCATGCCCCCTCCCCCTGAATAATATTCATAAGAATTTATGAAAAAAATAATATCAACAAGCATGAAATACTCATATCCCCCGCCAATATGACATGTCCGGTTGTGTGCAATGCATTAGCTCCTGTGAACTATGTTCACTGGGCCTTTTTGTAAATGGCCTAATTGCAGCACTAACAAGTCCAACTTGTTGCAATGGAAAAGCGTAAAAAATAAAAAATTATAAAATTCCTAAATAGCAAAAGGCACCTGTTCAGTATGTGCCTAGTAGACATGCAAAGTTTTGTAAGAAAGCATTTAATGTTTTTTTGAGTTATGCTCCGGAAACGAACAGCACCCTTATAGAACCTAAGTCCAACTTGTTGCCATGGAAACGTAAATAATAAAAATTTAGAAATCTCCTAAATAGCAAAAGGCACCAGTTCAGCATGAGTCTGATAGACATGCAAAGTTTCATAGAGAAATATTTAACGTTTTCTGAGTTATGCTCCCGAAACGATTTCGTGACGCACACACGCACTCACACACGGACGGAACCCATTTCTATATCCCCCGCCAACTTCGTTGGGGCGGGGGATAAAAACTAGAGAACTGCGTCATTTTATCATACCCCTATATAGTTGTGTCCTTTTTTCATGACCACACACGCCTCTCAAGCACCCCCACACCCCTCCCACCCTATAATAAATACCCAGTCCCTTATGATACAAGTTTGCTGCTCCAGCAAGTATGTGGGTGCAGGGTATGAGTGTACCTGTAGCTCTGCACCTGCCAGGCCTCGAAGCTGCCGACCTCTTGCACCTGGTACCTGTCTGTGTGCTCCAGGTGTCGCATCCGGGGCTGCAACAACATCACTGACTATGAGGGCACACACATTAGGAACAGCATCCAGTATTACTGTCAGCTACTGAAGATGCTCAGTGTTGTAGCAGGAAGCAACAAATTGAGCATTTTCTTCCTTCTGAATTACATTATTAAGGCCCAAGAATGAATGTTTTTCGTACTGTACAATTTCAAAAAATACCTCAAGATTGGCAAATGTTAACAGGTTATACACTGATCAGGTCGGGTTAGGTGAAAAGGGGTTTAACATTGTTTCTGATATCATTTCACTTATACTGTTTCTGTGGCTGCTTGTACTATTCCAGACTTTATAGTGCTAGACCACTGAGATATCATGCAGCAGTTTAACATGGAACCCCCACTCAGACACAGTATGCTGACTTCAACTGTGGCCAGGGTATCAAACCACCGACCTGTTGCTCTCCAGGCATACACTCTGTTCACTGATATAAACTGATGTAATACCCATGGATTGACATGAATCATGAGTTTAAGAGTCTGGACCTATGGTTATTTGTTTTCCTACCTGGGTATCATCTATGTTTGACACATCACGTCGGAGGTGGACGCTGACATAGTTCTATTTACACAATACATAGATCATCACAAACCACTACTTAAAAAATGAAATAAACCAATTGTATTTCAGAGTTCCTATGCCAGTCTGTTGTCCTAATACATGTATTGGTGGTGTTATACTGAACATCTATCCGTCATGTTTGTTTGATGCTACTACTAAAGCTGCACGTGACAGCATCACTATTTGAAAAATAGGGCGATAAAGCTAAAAAAAGCAGAAAAGATTACCCTGCTTGCATTTGTATGGTTTAATGTGATTAAACCTTGAAATTGAATATCAAAGCAATGCAGGAACGTAATAAATTGGACATCAACATAAAAAAGAATACTCAAAAATAGACGTTCCATAAAGGCTAACGGCAACCTCATCAGTGACATTGGTCGGAGCCTTGTTTTACGGAACACGTTGTATTCTGTAGCTACTTTGGAAATGAAACAATACACTTACATACAAAAACATTTTATTCCAACCTGTTATTTTAGCAAGGTGTCAAAATTGGCGTCTGATAAACTTAGAAACCGTTAGGGCCTACTAAGGAATGGACTTGTGCACATCCTTTACCAAAATGGCGGAAGGTGTCCGGTATACTGCATTCTTGCCTGGTAGTGTTTACATAGTTACATTGATGTCCCTCATATAGGTTAAAGTTCAATGGAAAGTGACTTCAAACTTGTGCCTGACAATGATATGATACGATACTGTTCCCACGAAGACATCAACATGCTGTTTCCTCATCACAATGACTCACCGGTGTGTCCTGTAGCTCGACAATTGACAGACTAGAGTCAGGTCGAGATGCCTGAGACTTGTCGCTGCAGGTGTTGGCCACGGAGGCCTGGTATAAGGCAGTGAAACTCACTCGGTTCTCATCATCTACAAAATGTTACATCATAAACTAAACTTTGACTTAAGGCATTGTTAGGTAGGTGAAGAGGCAAGCAGTAGCCCTTAAATGTCTTTGTCATGATCATAAATAATAAACAATTGTTGTCAATAAAAGTTACATGTTTTCATAAACATTTAAAATACTTTTCTTACATAAGACATAAGACAAATTAAGACAGGTTTGACAACATAAGCTAAAAAAAAGGCACATCACTTTTCATCCTGTGGCCAGTGCTGTTTGGGGGCAATAAAAAAACATAGTTTATATTAATACTTTGTTTACATGCTTGTTCTTTTGTACTCTTTTGTACCACCGCCGGTGGTTTGGAGAATAATAAACTGAAACTGAAACTGTAAATCACCTTCCTAACAATGATGAATACAGTGTCTTTCCCACCAAATTAAAATCTTTCCCACTAAAATCTTTTTTGCCCTGTAGGTACCTTACTTATTGAGCATAGTGGCATTGGCTTCAGGGCTGGTGCCGGTAATAATGACTACAGTGTACAGTGTAAAGTGGCACTTTCAAATGACAGCTTAAAATCTTTCAAAACATTCACAATTCAAAGCCATGTTAAAAAGTCTGAAGGTGATTGGGAATAAAATCTCCTTTCACTTTGACGAAAGTGCTCAATCTATTGTCAGTGTTACTGGTTAACATTAACTAAGTATGTTTCAATGATTGAATACAGCCTATGTCATATATCACATTGTGACACTGTGTGGCTCCTATGTGGTTTATTACATAGCTAATGGTCTACCAGTGGCCAAGGCATCTTCCTTGAGTACCCTGAAGTAGCGACACGGGCAGGTGCACTCACACCGAGGGCCCTCCCTTGTACCTGGGCTATATCTGCTGCGTGGAGAGGGGTAGTCGTCCTCCAGTCTCGGTGTCCCCAGATCCCCAGGGTCAGTGCGGCGATGTTTCTTCATGAGCAGGCGGTCAGCGTAGCTGATGGTGTTGGTGAACGTTATCTGTGGTGAGTCTGGTTTGCTGGTCATTGTTGTTGCCGTGTGCACATCAGCAGCAGCTGTAGACATAGACCACAGTGCACCATATTAACAGGAGCTACACATAGATACCCAGACCCCACCATATTAACAGGAGCTACACATAGATACCCAGACCCCACCATATTAACAGGAGCTACACATAGATACCCAGACCCCACCATATTAACAGGAGCTACACATAGATACCCAGACCCCACCATATTAACAGGAGCTACACATAGATACACAGAGCACTCAATATTAACAGGAGCTACACATAAACTCTAAGAACACACCATATTAACAGGAGCTACACATAGATACACAGAGCACTCAATATTAACAGGAGCTACACATAAACTCTAAGAACACACCATATTAACAGGAGCTACACTAATAGACTAATAGACTCTCAGAACACACCATATTAACAGGAGCTACACACAGACACGCCTAATATTAACAGGAGCTACACACAGACACACAGAACACTCCATATTAACAGGAGCTACCCTTATAGACTCTAAGAACACACCATATTAACAGGAGCTACCCTTATAGACTCTCAGAACACACCATATTAACAGGAGCTACACACAGACACGCACCATATTAACAGGAGCTACACAAAGACATGCACCATATTAACAGGAGCTACACACAGACACGTACCATATCAACATAAGCTACACATATAGACCCCCAGAACACACCATATTAACAGGAGCTACACTAATAGACTCTCAGAACACACCATATTTACAGGAGCTACACTCATAGACTCTCAGAATGCGCCATATTAACAGGAGTTACACATAGATACACAGAGCACTCCATATCAACAGGAGTTACACAAAGACATGCACCATATTAACAGGAGCTACACACAGACACGTACTATATTAAGAGGAGCTACACATATAGACTCTCAGAACACACAATATTAACAGGAGCTACACTAATAGACTCTCAGAACACACCATATTTACAGGAGCTACACAGAGACACGCACCATATTACCAGGAGCTGCACTAATAGACTCTCAGAACACACCATATTAAAAGGAGCTACACATAGACATGCACATTATTAACTGGAGCTGCACTAATAGACTCTCAGAACACACCATATTAAAAGGAACTGCACTAATAGACTCTCAGAACATACCATATTAATAGGAGCTGCAGTAAAAGACTCTCAGAACATACCATATTAATAGGAGCTGCAGTAATAGACTCTCAGAACACACAAGATTAACAGACGCTGCACTAATAGACTCTCAGAACACACCATATTAACAGGAGCTGCACTAATAGACTCTCAGAACACACCATATTAACAGGAGCTGCAGTAATAGACTCTCAGAGCACTCCATATTATCAGGAGCTGCACTGATAGACTCTCAGAACACACCATATTAACAGGAGCTGCGCTGATAGACTCTCAGAACGCACCATATTAACAGGAGCTACACATAGACATGCACCATATTTACAGGAGCTGCACTAATAGACTCTCAGAACACACCATATTATCAGGAGCTGCACTGATAGACTCTCAGAACACACCATATTAACAGGAGCTGCACTAATAGACTCTCAGAACACACCATATTAACAGGAGCTGCAGTAATAGACTCTCAGAGCACTCCATATTATCAGGAGCTGCACTGATAGACTCTCAGAACACACCATTATTAACAGGAGCTGCGCTGATAGACTCTCAGAACATACCATATTAACAGGAGCTGCGCTGATAGACTCTCAGAACATACCATATTAACAGGAGCTGCGCTGATAGACTCTCAGAGCACTCCATATTATCAGGAGCTGCACTGATAGACTCTCAGAACACACCATATTAACAGGAGCTGCGCTGATAGACTCTCAGAACACACCATATTAACAGGAGCTGCAGTAATCGACTCTCAGAACACACCATATTAATAGGAGCTGCACTAATAGACTCTCAGAACACTGCATATTAACAGGAGCTACACAATTAGACTCCCAGAACATACCATATTAACAGGAGCTGCACTAATAGACTCTCAGAACACACCATATTAACAGGAGCTGCAGTAATAGACTCTCAGAGCACTCCATATTATCAGGAACTGCACTAATAGACTCTCAGAACACACCATATAAACAGGAGCTACACAATTAGACTCTCAAAACACTGGAGCTCCACTATCAGCAGCTATAGACTGACAGAGTCTTTCAGAACACTCATCACCACCTTACCTTTGGTTTTCCGGGGAGAGACGGACATGCGAGGTGAGACGGTCGGTGAGGGGATGTCATCACCCTGCCTCCATGCCAGTAGAGCAGCTTGGAAGGAGGCAGCACTCTCGGTTTCGTTGTACTGACCAGTCAACAAGTCCCCCGCCAACTCGTATGAACCACTTGCACCCTCTGGGCCATTTCTCTCTGATTCCTATCAACAAAGTACATCATTCTCACACATTAACAAGTTCTCTGCATTTAGAAGTCCCAATTTTACGATTCTGTGAATGCCGGAAGATTTGCAGAAAATTTGCCATTTTTGATCAGTCAACAGACTAATGTACAATACTTTCAAGCTTTTCTATCAAATTTTGCACTCGAATGATTCTCCAAGATTTAAATATGAATCCTACAATAAAACCAAATTTGAAACAAATAATCCTTTTTTTAAAAATGTTTTTGTGGTAGTATGACTTCATAACTATGTTTACATCTAATCATAATGGAAGAGATTAAATTAATTTTTTTTAAACAAAATCAGTTTGTATTTATTCTATAGGGGGAAATGGACTCCTGTTTCTACCACAAATATTACCGCAGATGTCACTGCAGAATTTGTCTGGGACTGATCCAGCCATGTATACATACATGTGAGTGAGTGAGTGAGTGAGTATGGTTTTACGCCGCTTTTAGCAATATTCCAGCAATATCATGGCGGGGGACACCAGAAATGGGCTTCACACATTGTACCCATGTCGGGAATTGAACCCGGGTCTTCGGCGTGACGAGCTAACGCTTTAACCACTAGGCTACCCGACCGCCCCTATACATACATGTAGTGAATCTGATGGCAGATGAGGTGTTTTTCTACATATATCTTACATGTCCCAAATGTCTTGTAAATATACCTTTCATGAACATAGTCCTGACTATAATTCACCATCAAGTGTCAACTGCTTTAGTAGTGTGGCACATTTGAACTATTGATATTTTACACAGTCAGCAGTATTCCATCTATTTCACAGGAACCTCTAAATAATCAAATCTGGACCTGTCATTCCAGTGGTTGGTAAAACTATATGTGTGTGTTTGTGTGATTGTCTACAACATACTACCTTTGGCATTTGGTTTTTCAAAAGGAGGACAACACCCACCAAAAGATCCGTCTATGCCACCCTCTTTTTAATCAGCTCTTGCAACAAGCATGGGGAAGTGAGAACCTATTCTCATCTGGATTGCATGGAATGTATGACTTGGTATGGAGCCTTGTTTGTTGACTGTAGCCCTCAACGTACCTGGAACCTGATGGTGCTGGATACTGCGCCTACTGCCGGGGACGGCTTCATCTCTCTACAACATCACAGAAGGATCATCATGTGATCCAAACAAAGGGCATGACTTGGGACAATAGTGACACTTCCACAAGCTATATCTGCATTTACCCTTCAAACTGTTTGTGAAGGCAGAACTACAGCATTGCGGATTTTGTTTCATAGAGCAAACACTGGTGTCAGTACGCCCATTCACCAAAACAATCTTATTCTCACGACAGTACAGCTATAAGTACTTTGTGGAAAGGGAATCTTAGTGCTACATTGTGACTATCATGCCTAAACATAAACATACATTATCCTGACTTTACACCAGAGCTAATGTTTCAACAAGGCCCAAGTAAGTGTGTACAAACTGATGGACACCGAGACTGTGCACAGTTACAGTGAGGGGGTATTGGGTCTGAGACTAGGCTACTCAGGGCTAGATTTAAGGAACTTGATAGAACTTGCACCAGTTGCATGTTCACATGAAAACCAAGTTGCACCAGAAAAAACCAGGTTCCACCCTGGTCCCATAAATATATCAAAATTGAAACATAGGCTGGTCTGCTGTTGCCAGTGTCACATAAGTTAAAGCGTAACAGGAACATGTGCAGATGTTCTTGAACTCCTCACAGTTTGAAGATGTCAAGCTAGGGGTTTCACGATAAATTGAAATATTGATATATTGCTATTGGTAAGCACTTAAAGTCAATAAATCGATTGTTAAACCAGTTTCCGATCAATAGTATCGATTTCAGTTAGGTATATCGATAGTTTCGATTGTTTTACAGTTTCAATAAAATACATGCAATGCTGTTAAAATTTGTTTTTCTTTTGATCATGAGTGGTAGTAATTTGCACATGGTAATGTGGAAGTTTCTTTTTCTTAACTTATTAGAGTAAAGAAAAAACAAATCAGTCATATCTCAATCTTTACTTTTTATTTGTTGTTATGGTTATCACATTCAAAGGAAACTTCAGTTCCAAGGTTTAGTTCAACTCTAAAATCCATCTAAAATGATACACTGAAAACTATCGATATTTATTACAATAGCTGCTTGCAATATCAATAGTTATCGCAATAGTTTCTTTCGATATCAATAGTTATCGCAATAGTGATTTCCAGACCAATAGTCACCCCTATGTCAAGCCAAGAAAGCATGACAAATTAACTGAACACAGGGATTTGTGACGTAGTATGGTAAAAAAACCTTTATAGGTAATGAGTGTGTTCATAGGTGGACTTTGGGAGTGGACAAGTAAGGGTTAGTACAAGTAAGGGTTTTTGTACATGCACTTTGTGCATGTAGGCATTCATATTATGTTGCATTTTTCAATAATAGGTTGCACTGGTGCATGTTTTATATAGCTAAATCGAGCCCTGCTACTGTGAGTTCATTTATTTAGAACTATTTTCTGTGAGATTGCGTTATTGTTTCCTTACCTGTGTGAGGGTGGGGGCATGGGGCGGGGAGACATACACTGCCGGGGACCGGATGCCTGCAAGTAAAGACAAATGGGATCAACTCAAACACAAGCAACTGAGCTGATGTCCCGGCAGTTGTTATGCTGGTAGCACAAGCAACATTCAACATCATCTGGGCACAATGTACAATCAGCCATCTTCAGTGGCTGGTGGCTGGTAGCACAAGCAACATTCAACATCATCAGGGCACAATGTACAATCAGTCAGCTTCAGTGGCTGGTAGCACAAGCAACATTCAACATCATCTGGGCACGATGTACAATCAGTCAGCTTCAGTGGCTGCTAGCACAAGCAACGTTCAAAATCATCAGGGCACGATGTACAATCAGTCAGCTTCAGTGGCTGGTAGCACAAGCAACGTTCAAAATCATCTGGGCACGATGTACAATCAGTCAGCTTCAGTGGCTGGTAGCACAAGCAACATTCAACATCATCAGGGCACGATGTACAATCAGTCGGTTTCAGTGGCTGGTAGCACAAGCAACATTCAACATCACCTGGGCACGATGTACAATCAGCCAACTTCAGTGGCTGGTAGCACAAGCAACATTCAACATCATCTGGGCACGATGTACAATCAGCCATCTTCAGTGGCTGGTGGCTGGTAGCACAAGCAACATTCAACATCATCAGGGCACGATGTACAATCAGCAATCTTCAGTGGCTGGTGGCTGGTAGCACAAGCAACGTTCAAAATCATCTGGGCACGATGTACAATCAGTCAGCTTCAGTGGCTGGTAGCACAAGCAACATTCAACATCATCAGGGCACGATGTACAATCAGTCGGTTTCAGTGGCTGGTAGCACAAGCAACGTTCAAAATCATCTGGGCACGATGTACAATCAGTCAGCTTCAGTGGCTGGTAGCACAAGCAATATTCAACATCATCTGGGCACGATGTACAATCAGCCAACTTCAGTGGCTGGTAGCACAAGCAACATTCAACATCATCTGGGCACAATGTACAATCAGCCATCTTCAGTGGCTGGTGGCTGGTAGCACAAGCAACATTCAACATCATCTGGGCACGATGTACAATCAGCCAACTTCAGTGGCTGGTAGCACAAGCAACATTCAACATCATCTGGGCACAATGTACAATCAGCCATCTTCAGTGGCTGGTGGCTGGTAGCACAAGCAACATTCAACATCATCTGGGCACGATGTACAATCAGCCATCTTCAGTGGCTGGTGGCTGGTAGCACAAGCAACATTCAACATCATCAGGGCACAATGTACAATCAGTCAGCTTCAGTGGCTGGTAGCACAAGCAACATTCAACATCATCTGGGCACGATGTACAATCAGTCAGCTTCAGTGGCTGGTAGCACAAGCAACGTTCAAAATCATCAGGGCACGATGTACAATCAGTCAGCTTCAGTGGCTGGTAGCACAAGCAACGTTCAAAATCATCAGGGCACGATGTACAATCAGTCAGCTTCAGTGGCTGGTAGCACAAGCAACGTTCAAAATCATCAGGGCACGATGTACAATCAGTCAGCTTCAGTGGCTGGTAGCACAAGCAACAGTCAACATCATCAGGGCACGATGTACAATCAGTCGGTTTCAGTGGCTGGTAGCACAAGCAACATTCAACATCATCTGGGCACGATGTACAATCAGCCAACTTCAGTGGCTGGTAGCACAAGCAACATTCAACATCATCTGGGCACGATGTACAATCAGCCAACTTCAGTGGCTGGTAGCACAAGCAACATTCAACATCATCTGGGCACGATGTACAATCAGCCAGCTTCAGTGGCTGGTAGCACAAGCAACGTTCAAAATCATCAGGGCACAATGTACAATCAGTCAGCTTCAGTGGCTGGTAGCACAAGCAACATTCAACATCATCTGGGCACGATGTACAATCAGCCAGCTTCAGTGGCTGGTAGCACAAGCAACGTTCAAAATCATCAGGGCATTATGTACAATCAGTCAGCTTCAGTGGCTGGTAGCACAAGCAACGTTCAAAATCATCAGGGCACGATGTACAATCAGTCAGCTTCAGTGGCTGGTAGCACAAGCAACAGTCAACATCATCAGGGCACGATGTACAATCAGTCGGTTTCAGTGGCTGGTAGCACAAGCAACATTCAACATCATCTGGGCACGATGTACAATCAGCCAGCTTCAGTGGCTGCCTGGAGGGGCACACTCTCATGTTACCATGGTTTCTCACCTGGAGGGGCACACTCCCAAGTTACAATGGTATCTCACCTGGAGGGGCACACTCTCATGTTACAATGGTATCTCACCTGGAGGGGCACACTCCCATGTTACAAAGGTATCTCACCTGGAGGGGCACACTCCCATGTTACAATGGTATCTCACCTGGAGGGGCACACTCCCATGTTACAAATGGTATCTCACCTGGAGGGGCACACTCTCATGTTACAAAGGTATCTCACCTGGAGGGGCACACTCCCATGTTACAATGGTATCTCACCTGGAGGGGCACACTCCCATGTTACAATGGTATCTCACCTGGAGGGGCACACTCCCATGTTACAATGGTATCTCACCTGGAGGGGCACACTCTCATGTTACAATGGTATCTCACCTGGAGGGGCACACTCCGATGTTTCTTCAGAGCTCCACGGAGGTGAAATGCAGCAAAGCAGCCAGAACAGTAATGCTCTGAACACTGAACACATGTCTGAAACATGAAGCACTACAGTATAAGCAATAATAGCAGGAGCCACAAGCCAGATACAGTAAAAGAATGTCATTAGAATGCTTGTGTGTGATACACTGTCCCTGTCTGCCAGCACCATATAACACGGAGTATGGGAAAACATGACCTGCATCCATCTTCAATGAAGTTGTGGAAAGAAACTAGGGGAACTCATGGATGCATCGACTTACAAATGTCTCTGTCACCATGGAGGGGCACTATCAAGTATACAAGACACCGGGAAGAAATGTAACTGACCAGACAGGCTATTCGGTCCTCACACTGGCCACACTTGGGTCCCTTTGGTCTGTTCTCCTTCCCAGTTCTGGTGTTTTGAGATGTTTTAGCAATGTACTTCATCGTCCCCGGCTCACTGCTGCGACTTGGTACATCTGCAATGTTAACAGTGACGCATGTACTTACATTCACTCCGCATGAGCCATCATAATGTTGGTTAATGAGTATTATGATCTTGCCTGTAACACAATCAAATGTTCCACTCCAACAATTTATGACGACACACAATGATCCACTCTGTCAATGTATGAATATACACAATGATCCAGTCCATCAATGTATGAGGATCCACAATGATCCATTCCATCAATGCATAAGGATCCACAATGATCTACTCCATCAATGTATGAGGATACACAATGATCCACTCCATCAATGTATGAGGATCCACAATGATCCACTCCATCAATGTATGAGGATACACAATGATCCACTCCATCAATGTATAAGGATCCACAATGATCCAGTCCATCAATGTATAAGGATCCACAATGATCCATTCCATCAATGTATGAGGATCCACAATGATCCAGTCCATCAATGTATGATGATACACAATGATCCACTCCATCAATTTATGAGAGAGTGAGTTTGGTTTTACGTCGCTTTTAGCAATATTCCAGCAATATCACGGCGGGGTATCAATTTATGATACACAATGATCCACTTCATCAATGTATGAGGATCAACAATGATCCAGTTCATCAATGTTTGAGGATCCACTCCATCAATGTATGATACACAATGATCCATGCCATCAATGTATGATACACAATGATCCACTCCATCAATGTATGATACACAATGATCCACGCCATCAATGTATGATACACAATGATCCACTCCATGAATGTATGATACACAATGATCCACGCCATCAATGTATGATACACAATGATCCACGCCATCAATGTATGATACACAATGATCCACGCCATCAATGTATGATACACAATGATCAACGCCATCAATGTATGGAGAATACTACAATCATTCTCGTTAGATACCATAGAAAATTCACAAGTTTTGTAAAAAAGGTATCTAACAAGAATGAGTGTGGTATTTTATTTATTACCCAAGTTAAATACATACTTAAGTGTGAATACATAACAACTTTCATCCGTTGACAGACCAAACTGAAACCGGTTGCAAAATCTGGTTGTGCATGAGTTTGATATATGTCGAAATATGGGCATTGTTGACATTTCTATGCATATGCATTAACAACATGCGCCTGTAGTTGTGTTTGCAAACAAAACAGCACCGACGCTCAAGATACTTTTGAGAAGAATTTCTTCAACTAATGCCAATTCAAATGCCAAGTTGTTAGTACGCAGGACACCTATATGAAAAGTTGAAAAGTCACATTAGCGCCGCGCTTTGAATATCGGACCAACAGTCGGTCACTCGCACTGACGGGGATCAGTCTGTGCAATCAAAATGATTCTGTTTCCTTGATCTATTAGCTGAATCAATATCATGTCCGCACCATTTTGGAAGACGGAAATCAAGAGTGTTCGCTGAAGATATTCATGTTAACTGCACCACCCTATATTGACGACGTGAAAATCAACAAACTCAAGTCTGCTTGCAGGTCAGTGACAGCTTCGAACGATCACCACCGGAATAAGAAAAGACAACCGTGATCTACTCACAGCATTTTACACTAGAGATAGGGAATGTTACTGTTCACATCCGGGATATTTTGGGCCACATAATGAGAAGTCAGGCACACCTCTACGGAGTTTTCGAATGATTTGCATCGGAAATGTTCACTTTGAGTGATCTGGTCGTGCAGTCGTGCACAAACAACTCCCAAAACAGTGCCACAAAATTCTCTTCGAAGGGGACACTGGTGGTACAACCGGATCATCCCAAGTAAGTCTAGATATCTGTCCAGATAGTTTAAACTGACTTCATTTCACCACGCTTATCCTTTTATGTTAAATCAAATTGAAAGTTGCGAAAGTGGTCGGGTGCGTCACGCTCATTGGGATCCTCGATCTATTGATCGGTAGTCGTACATTGTAAATGGATATCTAGCTCGATTATATAATGTCTGTAGAAGCTCTATGCATAACTTATATAGAATGCAAAGCGAATTTGATGCATGTGACTATCTTGTTTGGTTTAATAAAGTGTAAATCTCTCTGGCTCTCTGGAGATTGCTTCAGTTCTGCCTTGTAGTTGCAAACTGAATGATGTCTCGTAATTTTTATGAATGAAAAATGTAGTCCTGGTGTGACAGAGGTCACGGTTATCCAATCAAAACGAAAAAAACAAGGTCAACCTTGTACGACACACGTGACGTACGGATTTAGTATCTTACTACCTGTATCTTCACCACGTGGGTAATAAATGATGATACGCAATGATCCGCTCTGTCAATGTATGAAACACAATTATCCACTCTGTCAATGTATGATGATACACAATGATCCACTCCATCACTGTGTACTGTGGACTACACTGGGGCCTACACAAAAAGAATGTTCACCTACAGATCTAGAGGTCATGTGTGTAGATTTATTTTCAAACTTCTCAATATTTTACTTCTTAACTAACAATTATATATCAGTACAGAAGTCTTTACCTACAGAATATAGATGATCCGCTAATTAGCCACAGTCATCAGTAACTAAGCTACGGAAATGACTTCAACCGATTAAATAATCATGATATCACTTTACCTAAAGGTTCATCCCTTAAAACTCTGATCCCTTTCTTCTTATGCTCCTGAAATTAAGAAACAAGAGAGATTTTTATCAGCAGCATAAACCCCATGAACACACAACATAATGACTTGAAGCTTAAGTTTAGCTGTAGTTGGAAGAAGTTATGACTGCCTGGCACGGACACAGTTCTTGTCTCACCTTGCTGGAGCGCACCGGCTTGTCCAGGACATCGGTGGCATAGGTGGAGAGACTGCCGGACTGACCAGTGCGCCAAAACCCTCCCCCATTCTGTCTGAAAAATACATACATACATACTGTAAATTAAACGCGTCTGAAATTAATGCGTCTCCAAAAGAATGCAACCACTGGACCCTAGCCCAAAATTCGACTCATTATGAATGCGACACCCCCTCCTCTCAAGCATCAGTGGATTTCTATCTAAAGAAAATGTCCTCAGTCAGGTTTAGAATCCTCACCTTAATCCAACCTTACATTAATCCAATCACACACCAAATAGCACCGCTTATTAGCGCTGAGTAGAGTACTTCCACTAAAACAATACATGCGCGCTGGCTCGTGTCGGCCTTTGACGCAGTCGCAAAGAACAAAGGGTGGCGTCTGTCTGGACTGCAGGTGTGATCAGTGATGACGTAAGTGAGAAGAACTCTTGTCAATAAACAGTGGTGTGGAATACATCAGCGTATGTCTAAGTTGGTATTTTTGCTATCCAAAATGTCTTATTGTTGATATAAATGCGATGTTTAAAAATGCGAGCAAAGACCACTCGCATTTTTCGCATTTAATTCATGCTCACGTTAATTTCAAGATTTACAGTACATCTATTTGAAGTGAAACCTGAAGTCATCTGATATGACAAGCAAAGATACTGCAAGCAGATCAAGTCTATGAACAACATTACGACTCACTCTCTCTCCTCCTTCTCGCGACTCATGGCCACCTTCAGCTCCCTCAGCCTCTCCTCCATCTTCCTGTTCTCCAACTCCAGCTTCTTGCTCTGCTCCTTCGCTGTCCGCATGTTCCTGTAACACACAGGCACAACCGTGACATCCGACTCTCACCAGCTTGGATGAAGTCAGTGACAACCACCACCCACCACCTTGGATGAAGTCAGTGACAACCACCACCCACCACCTTGGCTCAGAGCAGTGACAACCACCACCCACCACTCGCCACCTTGGCTCAGAGCAGTGACAACCACCACCCACCACTCACCACCTTGGCTCAGAGCAGTGACAACCACCACCCACCACTCATCACCTTGGCTCAAAGCAGTGACAACCACCACCCACCACTCATCACCTTGGCTCAGGGAAATGACAACCACCACCAACCACCTTGGCTCAGAGCAGTGACAACCACCACCCACCACTCACCACCTTGGCTCAGGGCAGTGACAACCACCATCCACCACTCATCACCTTGGCTCAGAGCAGTGACAACCACCACCCACCACTCACCACCTTGGCTCAGAGCAGTGACAACCACCACCCACCACTCACCACCTTGGCTCAGAGCAGTGACAACCACCACCCACCACTCACCACCTTGGCTCAGAGCAGTGACAACCACCACCCACCACTCACCACCTTGGCTCAGAGCAGTGACAACCACCACCCACCACTCACCACCTTGGCTCAGAGCAGTGACAACCACCACCCACCACTCACCACCTTGGCTCAGAGCAGTGACAACCACCATCCACCACTCACCACCTTGGCTCAGGGAAATGACAACCACCACCAACCACCTTGGCTTAGAGCAGTGACAACCACCACCCACCACTCACCACCTTGGCTCAGGGCAGTGACAACCACCATCCACCACTCACCACCTTGGCTCAGAGCAGTGACAACCACCACCAACCACTCATCACCTTGGCTCAGAGCAGTGACAACCACCACCCACCACTCACCACCTTGGCTCAGAGCAGTGACAACCACCACCCACCACTCACCACCTTGGCTCAGAGCAGTGACAACCACCACCCACCACTCACCACCTTGGCTCAGAGCAGTGACAACCACCACCCACCACTCACCACCTTGGCTCAGAGCAGTGACAACCACCACCCACCACTCACCACCTTGGCTCAGAGCAGTGACAACCACCACCCACCACTCATCACCTTGGCTCAGGGAAATGACAACCACCACCAACCACCTTGGCTCAGAGCAGTGACAACCGCCACCCACCACCTTCGCACAGAGCAGTGACAACCACCACCCACCACCTTGGCTCAGAGCAGTGACAACCACCACCCACCACCTTGGCACAGAGCAGTGACAACCAGAATCCAAAAGCACCAAATCATGATCAAAACAGGTAATCAGAAAGCACACAAAATAGAATCTACCAAATACAATTGATGATTGCTAGGTTTGGATCCAACTGATTACATTAATGACATGACAACAACTTCCAAACACCACTGACATCAGACAGTGAGCCAGGTGCCTTGACTGACTTTGTTGTGTGTTGTACTACAATGTCCCATGCACTAGTACCATGAATACCGATGCACTCGTACCACAGGGCTCCAAGTTCATTCTTCTAATTACTTGTTGATAACTAAGTAAATATTTTTAATCACTAGACAAAATGAAATTCAAGTGGCCATGCGAAGTCACACTACCTAATACATATCATATTGGCAAGTAACTTTACCTATTATCGTGATGAATAAAAAATTATGCTAATTTGAAACTAATTTCTTACCGCTTTTTATTTTGTAAATGCCATTTCTTCTTTACCAATACAATATACAGAATTGAACTTACTCTTCAGTTCATCCACATAGTTCTCCTCAGTTTTGGTATCTACTGCATGAAACTGTAGCATTACATAGCTCATTTAAACATGGGCGGTTTTTGTCTGTTGCATAAATTGTAGGTTCTTCATTTGAAAATCAAGATGTGCTTTGATATTCTCTTGGTGAACTTCTGACTGCCATCAACAAAATCATTATTTGTAAGTGATTTTATTAATTTTATTCAAAATTTCATTCAATATTGTTTATATTCATATAGGCAAAATCATTTGTGAAGTGTTTGGTAGATTGCACAACTCAAGCTTAATTACAGCATCCACAGGGAGATTACTTATAAGATAAGTTTCATCGTTATCACCTGTTTGTTAACCAAATTCACTGAGGGGGAATATGTAGGGATTGTGTACAGTCAAGTCTCATTAATCCAACAATCGGCTTTTTCCGAAACAAATGATGGGATCCCATTAAATCAGTGCTATTTAGACCCGTTAATCCGACAGTCTCACACTCTGACTCCGTCACACCTAATTTGCAATGAATTGCTGAAATCACTCATTAATCAGTCTTGTTAATCCGACACAGTGATCAGCGTACTCTGTGGTCATCAGCCAGCAAGTACACTGCCCCGTGTTTTGATGCTAGATGAGTCCGCGAGTAGCTGCATATTTCAACGGCTGCAGATATAAACTTGCTTAACAATAAACAATTACTGCTTTAAATAAACAAAACAGGATTAATCGAATGCCTAGATTACCTCAATCTCATTAAAATTGTCACACCAGAATGACCTTTGCGAACTTTGATCGACCAATGAAATTTCTAACAGGAAGTCCACATTAGCCTCGTAGAAAGCAGCTTTCTTAAGCATTGCAGCACTAGTTTCAAATTGGCGACTTCCATTCCAGACTATGCTTAAAAAAATATTTTGAATCAGTTATACAGTCCGAAACAGTAGTTCCCTTATCCTTTTTTTATAACAACATGTTTGAATCTATCGTGCAGTTATCCAATTTTCCATCATGAACATTGAGACTACCTAATTTCGTTTATCCGACATACTCGTTAATCCGACATAATCATATGCACCCAACAATGTCGGATTAACGGGACTTGACTGTATGTTTTCCACACTCACCAAGAGACAAGTGTTTTAACATGTTTTGTTCAGTTTCCAAATTTTCACTCACGAATGACCGATCCACTTGCAGCTTAGAGCGATGTACCATTTGGATGTGCTAGTGCCATTAATAGCCAAACATCCAAGAGGTGGATGCAGGATTTTGAAAAAATGTGAGAATATGTGTGTGCAAGCATGCTTTTTACTGAAGCCACAAACAGACTTGGCTGAGTACACAGTCAACATGAAAGGTTGTGATGTTATTGCCCCGCTCTGGATCCGCCTGTGCACTGTGCACAGAGCATCCAATCCATACATCTACGTGATACTCGCCCTTCACATTCCCTGGAATCTCTATAACTAATCAAGTTACAACATGAAATGTCATAGTACCACAGGGTTTTACATGACGCACAAATGTGTGCCAATAGACAACAATGTTTGATTGGATTGGACGCAGACAAACAAAATAGGTAGGGATGCAAAATAATATCCATTGAAGCTACAGCGCATCAAGAGCAGTTATTATGTTTATGGGTGTCTGTCATTTCTTGCATCAGACATGACTACTGTCCACATGATCATCGATTCCTTCCAAGCTCTAACATAACTATCAAAACGTACAGTACACTACACCATGTCATTACTCTACAGGACTACAATATTACATTCCAGGACCCTAAAAATTAATCATTTTTGTAAGTCAAGGTAAAACAATGTGACCATTATATAGAAAACAATAAGATCCACATATTTCACTGAATTAAATATTGCCATTGTCAAGAAACTGCATAATCTGCAGACTATTTCAATAGTTGTCAAGGTCAACAAAAGCAATATGATGTGACACAATATAGAAACAATGTGAGAGTTTGATAGCTTCAGTCCCAGAGATAACATCTGGTATTGTCATGAGATAATAACACAATATCCAGTCTGTGACATTTCCAAAACTACTGCACCTTTCACTGGAGACGCTGTGGAGCATATACTGATTAGGAAATAGAAAGTAGAGTTGATGTTCCAGAACCAACCTGAGCTAAGACCTGCTGCTTATATCTTTGTGTATATCTCATTCAAAAAAGAAAATTTGATACAAATACTAAGAAAGAGCCCAAATGTACATATAAACTAACATTATTGATAGCAGTCTCCACCTTATCCTCTCGCCTGTGGGCCTAGTCTTGTTTGGTCTAGTAAGGTTTGCAGGTAAAATATTATATTTTGAAGTAAATTATTGAAATAATATGGAATCTCTGGTTCAGATTAGTAGAGAAGAATCTGGAGGGGGCAAAGAATGATACAGTAAAATCTTATGCCATTGAGTATTATCATGATTATTGAGGCGGTTAATTAGCTGTGTCACGGGGGTCTGTTTGAAGAGAGAGATGACAGTATGATCCAAAAGTCCCTAGCATTCCTATGGCAATACATTCATGTGAAGTATCACAGAATTTGGTAATGCAGCTTCTGAGATATAACATATTCACACTTGCAGCATCGTCAACAGTAGCCAAGTTGTGCAAATGATGGTGCATAAATGAAACCTATGATCATTTCTAAAGAACTAAATCAGAAGCCAATTGTAGTGCTATAGATCCTTCCAATGTATCATCATGCTTAGCATTTTGGTTTCCAGCTTCCCAGGAATAAAAAAAAACATACCTGAAATATTATGTCATGAAATAATGCAAAGCACAGTTTTTCAAAACAGGTCTGTTGGTCCTGATAGCAGCCTGGCAAATTTATTTTTTCAAACGCTAAAATTATTTCTGAGATAGTCTTTTGTACGAAAACACAAGATGACCACTTTCCTAGTCATGCTGGTTGAATAACCTGAATAAATACACGATATGCTAGTATGTTTCATGTTTAATGCAGCACACCCCTGTTCTTAAATTGTCAACACCCAAAGTCTTTGTAGTAAGAATGATGCATCTGTTTTTATAATACGCTTACAGATCTATCTACCCTAAAAAACAGGAATAAGGGGGGTAAAAGTAAAACCACACTCAGCAATGTTCCAGCTATATGACAGCGGTCTGTACGATCGAGTCTGGACCAGCCAAACCGGTGATTGACATCATGAGAAGTGATCTACGCAATTGGGAAACGATGACCACCCAATCCTGTTAGTTGCATCTTACAACAGGCATAGTTGCCTCTTACAGCAAGCATGGGTTGCACTTTTAGTGCCATTGGCTTCCATTGGTCTCATTTCATGGCGATTTATGAGCAATAAAACTGTAGTTGTTGCATTACAAAATGGCAACTGGTTTTCATTCTATTGAGATGATAGATATGTATCTTTCTTTCAGTTAACTAGGGCCTCATCCCCCTAAATATTTTCTGATCAAATTATTACATGTGGATATTTCATATGCACGTGGTGAAATTTTGACTAGCCAGGCGGGGCACCTACTTTACATTTCAGCAAGCCCTTCAAACATTTAACTGGCCACGGGCCAATGGGCCAATCTACCCCTCGTATATATGTGACTAACCACGAGATCAGGGACCCTATGGATGCAAAATCACATTTAGACTTTATGATAAAACTACAGTATCTACCACAAAAATACATTTCTTAAGCTTCAATTCATATTTATTACAGAGATAAGTGGCATCAAATATTTGGACTCATTGACTGCAAAGTCCCATTTTCAGACTTATGACTGTTTATGTAATGATTGCAGATTTTAGATATAATGCCTGATTGATTAATTGATAGTAGACATATATGAGGGAATGTTTTGAAATAATGTTTTCATTACATTACAAACTAATGAGAGAGAAACAAGTTATTTTTGAACACTCCACACACATGGCGATTTGTACAGAAGTAAGATGATGTCATACCTCTCTTTTTTCATGACGTCACATTACAATTGTATCCAAGCCCCCATAACATCCCTTTTCTCCTGATGGGTCTCATATATCTTATATCCCAATGCCACATGTTTCCAAGCCTCACCTATTTTTGAGCCCCTAAAGAATACATAACCACCTGCTTAATGATGTAATCAAGGTAGACGGTTCAAAGCCCACTGAACACAATAAAGTATTCATCACTTGCCTCTGAAGTTTTGTTCCGAATAAGCTACACAAGGTAAGATATTCACTAAGTAATGAAAACATACCTCAAAACGTACCTTTTCACTCATGCACATTTTAATCAAACTTGATCTGATGATAATTTTACTTCATAACAATGGAATGCACTAATAATATATCGGCAGCTGTTTGTAAACTTCCTGTGTGTCATGTCATGTGACTCATCATATTGTACATCTATATTTGACTTGACTGCAATGGAGGGGCTTAAAATAAAGTTACGGTAACAAGATGGCTCCTGATCGATGAGTCTCACGTGTAGGGAAATTATCACTTTAAAATGAACAAGACATGGTTATTGACCATCCAAGTGCTAACAGAAGATAAGACCTAATTTTAGAGTCTTGAGATTGTTATTAGACACATAATCAGGAATACTTCTTAGGGGCTCAAAAACCCAGAGGATATATAACATATTGTTTACATACAAAATGAGAGAAATGACAATGAGGCCATCCAAATCATTAAAGATGTACGACAAAGAACACAATACAACAGAAACAGTCGCTGAGAAATACAGGAAAATATAAAATTAGATACATGTACTTGCCTTTAAATATTCATACATCACATAACAATCAGTGACATCAAACCTGCTACTTGAGAGGAATATTTCTAAATCTATTCATTTCTTGTACATGTTGTACGTAGCAGTGTTGGAATTGACATTTCTTGGAATACTGGAAACCCAGAAGGGCCATCTTGTTTTAATCATTTGTTGTGCTGAATCTACTCATCCATTGACCACCAGGGTAAGGTCTATACATCTATGACAAAGATTTCTTTTGTAGCCTTTTTCTTTTGTTTGAGACAGGATACTTTTTCAGTGCTACAAACTACACACATTTTCCCCTGAATGGAGGCAGTGGGGGTAAGATAGACTAGATGTTATTTTGTTTCCTCCCAGGCACCCTTCACAATATCAAAGGGTCGGCATCTTACTAAGACTTACAAGCAATCTTTCACAAGGAGGGACTAGAAAATGTCATGCCAAGAAGATTATATTATTTTTTCCAATTCTGTTTTACAATGAAGAACCAAGAAGGAAAGCATGCCATGTCAACCCAAAGATCAACCTATTGTTCTGATGGGGTAAGAATATCAATGATGGCACTATATGACACTGTTTTCAGCAATGCACAAGTATCAATGTGTCACAGTGTGTTTGTTGTTTAACACCACTCAGCAATATTCCAGCTATGTGACGGCGATCTGAAAAGAATCAGGATATTGTGTGGAACGATCCACATCATCAACAAGTCACTAACAGACTAACGAAGTCCAGTTTCCACCCTTGCCGAACTAGGCTGGATTTATGGAGTCATATTTTGGTTTGACTAGCCAGTCTATGCAGAGTCCAATCAAAATCGCATAACGAAATCAACATCTGGTTTGCACAATTTGCACATGTACCACCAACTCGGGGTCAAAAGATATTTTCAAAATCTTTAGATATTTTTAATTAAGTGAGTGAGTGAGTGAGTGAGTATGGTTTTACTCCGCTTTTAGCAATATTCCAGCAATATCACGGCGGGGGACACCAGAAATGGGCTTCACACATTGTACCCATGTCGGGAATCGAACCCGGTTCTTCGGCGTGACGAGCGAACGCTTTAACCACTAGGCTACCCGACCGCCCCGTTTTTAATTAAGGTGCTCACGTGATTTGATGCACTTTGAAAAGTAAGACCCGTTTATTACAATAGAGATTTTGATTATCAATCAGATTGCCTTGACTGGGTGCTGCCATTTTGTTTAAAGCACAATATTTTTCAGCATTGCATTAGAGGCCATCACTGTCAAAACACTTCTTTTTTTCTGTTTAAACATATTACTAACTCATGTTTAGAATTGAACCTAGGTCTGAGGTGTGCTACAAAGCAAGTGCAAAGATCAAAGTTCTACATAAGCAATGCTAAAGGCTACCTCACAAGACATAGTGAGTGAGTGAGTGAGTGAATGAGTATGGTTTAACACCGCTTTTAGCAATATTCCAGCAATATCACGGCGGGGGACACCAGAAATGGGCTTCACACATTGTACCCATGTCAGGAATCAAACCTGGTTCTTCGGCATGACGAGCAAATGCTTTAACCACTAGGCTACCCGACCGCCCCGTTTTTAATTAAGGTGCTCACGTGATTTGATGCACTTTGAAAAGTAAGACCCGTTTATTACAATAGAGATTTTGATTATCAATCAGATTGCCTTGACTGGGTGCTGCCATTTTATTTGAAGCACAATATTTTTCTGCATTGCATTAGAGGCCATCACTGTCAAAACACTTTTTTTTTTTTTTTTTGTCTAAACATATTACTAACTCATGTTTAGAATTGAACCTAGATCTGAGGTGTGCTACATAGCAAGTGCAAAGATCAAAGTTCCACATAAGCAATGCTAAAGTCTTACTCACAAGACATAGTGACAACAAACACAAGACAACAGATATATGATGAATGAAAAGAATTAGGTAAATTTGTAAACAGTTACTTACAGGTAATTAGACCTGAAAAGTGCCACCGGACATGTTAGGTATGTTTTAAACAATACAGTGTAATATGATATTAAAAAAAACAGAAAAAAAACTTTCAGACTTGCTTTCAACTGCAGGAATGCGTTGCAGCAACTATATGTGACTGACTAACCTCTAATAGTGACTATAGAGCTGTTGAACATATTGCTTGCATAGAAAACAAACAAGACAGTTGTGTCTAAATCCATTAATACTTATCGTCGCATAACCGTAAAATCCCAGACTAATTCTGCGATTACATGATCATGGAAAGATTTGCAGAAAATGTAACTTACTTCAGAATTGCAGACAATTGGCGGAATTTGCCTTTTTTTAATCAATGAATTATTTTAAAACTTTCTATCCAAATTTGCTCTCAAATGATGCCCAAACATTTAACATGCGATTCAAACATACAAAATATGAATCCACAAAAAAACTAAATTTGTAATGTATCATTTTTACATTTCAATGTTCATGTGGTGTAACAGAAACAGCTACAGAAACTGTGTTTATATCTAACCATAAATAAGTATCACACACTATGCACATGTATTTGTATAAATCTTGCATAATAATGTCTAAATACAAGTGATTAAAAATCCAATGAGAAATGATTATGCTTTTACAGCAAAACTTTGTAATTTTATCTCCAGAATTTTGGTAATTATATCGCGGAATTTTGATAATTGTAACGCAAAATTCGTCTGGGAGTGTATCACCCAGAATCCAGTCATCATGCACAGTCACAGAGGATGTTATGACACTTGATAGTACAGATACAACACCCGGGAGGGGATATTTGGGTACATCATGTACTGTGATGCCATGGTTACTGCAAGGCTCTACCTGCCTATCTGTAGATGTGACCTTGGAAAAGCTCCTGTGACATCATTTATAATGCTTTACCCCTGAAATGTTTCTGCTCATTTAGGAGGTCAACATTTCCAGATTTGCTGGTGTTAATGGGTATTCCATGCTTGGAAATTTCATTTCCAGGCACCAATTACTCAAAAACTGTGATATACAAATCTGAAAAAATAATGTTTAGCAATATTGTAACATACAATCAGCCTTTTTCTGAAGTTCTCTCTCTCACGGTTATAAGAGAGACATGTAGCGGTCTTTGTCACCAAATTGCCACTAGTCCTAGAGTCCTTTAAGGGTTTTACTTTATGTTATCATTAAAAGGACTAGTGGACCAAAAATTTCACTCACATGACATCACAAAGATCTGTGATAAATGAACTGGCCTGGTTAGCAGAATGCAGAAAAAAACACCAAATTAAATAGAAGTTGTTCTCGTTCAAATATTCCTACGCAGTGAAACGTTCGAAAGATTTCCGGCATCCAATCAATCCTATTTACCTTGTACGCCTTGGGCTTTGAACAAGGGAACTTGAACACGACACGAGTAACACAACAATGTCGAAGATCCAGGTAGAGAGAGCAAACTTACCGGTAGTTCAAATTACAAGAAACTAAAACTTTGGCAATAATAAGTTTTAAGTCAAGTCTGAGGCTGGACAATTGTCAGAATATTTCCCATTACAGTAAGCATTTTGTAAACACTGTAATCTATAGTGTTGTGTATTTCTTGTTAGATAACCAGGAACTAGTGATCACTTTGACATATGATTCTCAAAGCTCCCAAGCACAACCACTGATTCAATAAATAACATCCCACATAAAAAGTTTGGTGATTATTCAGTGCAAAGAATTAATGCAAAGAAATTAATTTTTTAAACAAATAAAACTCTCTGTTTTGTTATTCTTGTTGAACATCCATGGTTAACATTTGGCATCACCAAGCAGTTTCTTATACATTGGACAAGTTGAATTGTCACAGGTATTTGATATCGCACAATAGTATGTAACATATATGATCGATATTTGTCTGCATCTAAGTGAGATAAACCATGCCTCCAGAGTTATACTTAAGACTGTAGGCCCTTGAGAAATGAGTTTTATAAGTCCTTCGAGCCTCTCCCCTCCAGTTTACAATCCTACTCATAAAAGAGTCATGCCTTGTCCTTCACACTGGCAACAAAACCAAAATCAGTCTTGTCTGTGTGTTGCTTAATGCTACACTCAGCAACCTATAAATATTGTTGTAAATAATAGAGTTTGGACCATACAAACCAGTGACTGATATCAAGAGCAGTGCTCTGCACCATCGGGGTACATGCAATCAACCAAATCACCAAGTCTGACGCCCTGATCCAGTCAATATACATAGGTTGCTACAGGTCAGTTCTAACCTGGAATCTCCACCGGGTGGATGTATCAGTCCCTGAGTACAAGAGTATAATGTGTTAGTTCTGCACCATGACTGGAATATTTAGGAGTTATTATATGGCAGTTTTCATACCCCCATATCAACCAGAGACCCCCATATCAGCCGGAGACCCCCATATCAACAAGAGACCCCCATATCAGCCGGAGACCCCCATATCAACCAGAGACCCCCATATCAGCCGGAGACCCCCATATCAGCCGGAGACCCCCATATCAGCCAGAGACCCCCATATCAGCCGGAGACCCCCATATCAACCAAAGACCCCCATATCAGCCGGAGACCCCAATATCAGCCGGAGACCCCCATATCAACCAGAGACACCCATATCAGCCGGAGACCCCCATATCAACAAGAGACCCCCATATCAGCCGGAGACCCCCATATCAACAAGAGACCCCAATATCAGCCGGAGACCCCCATATCAACCAGAGACACCCATATCAGCCAGAGACCCCCATATCAACCAGAGACCCCCATATCAGCCGGAGACCCCCATATCAACCAGAGACCCCCATATCAGCCAGAGACCCCCATATCAACAAGAGACCCCCATATCAGCCGGAGACCCCCATATCAACCAGAGACCCCAATATCAGCCGGAGACCCCCATATCAACCAGAGACACCCATATCAGCCGGAGACCCCCATATCAACCAGAGACCCCCATATCAGCCAGAGACCCCCATATCAACAAGAGACCCCCATATCAGCCGGAGACCCCCATATCAACCAGAGACACCCATATCAGCCAGAGACCCCCATATCAACCAGAGACCCCCATATCAGCCGGAGACCCCCATATCAACCAGAGACCCCAATATCAGCCGGAGACCCCCATATCAACCAGAGACACCCATATCAGCCGGAGACCCCCATATCAACCAGAGACACCCATATCAGCCAGAGACCCCCATATCAACCAGAGACACCCATATCAGCCGGAGACCCCCATATCAACCAGAGACCCAAATATCAGCCGGAGACCCCCATATCAACCAGAGACACCCATATCAGCCGGAGACCCCCATATCAACCAGAGACACCCATATCAGCCAGAGACCCCCATATCAACCAGAGACCCCCATATCAGCCGGAGACACCCATATCAACAAGAGACCCCAATATCAGCCAGAGACCCCCATTTCAACCAAAGACCCCCATATCAGCCGGAGACACCCATATCAACAAGAGACACCCATATCAGCCGGAGACCCCCATATCAACAAGAGACCCCCATATCAGCCGGAGACCCCCATATCAACAAGAGACCCCCATATCAGCCAGAGACCCCCATATCAACCAGAGACCCCCATATCAGCCGGAGACCCCAATATCAACCAGAGACCCCCATATCAGCCGGAGACCCCCACATCAGCCAGAGATCCCCCTAATAAACAAGGGACCCTCATATCAACAAGACCCGAGAGGCGAGAAATGTATTATATAATAATATATGTTAGTCTAATAATGTGTGTAATGAGAGTACTCACTGAGCACGGAGACGCAGGGAGACATCTTCCCGTCGAGTGGATGTGTTGAATGCTGACATTGTGGTACCAGGGGGAGACAGGAAAATGCCCTGCTTCTGGAGATTCCGGATCGGACGGTAGTTGTACACTGCAACATAACCATTACACTTAGGAATAACTCTTCTACACCAGAATGGCATCTTGAGGATTCAATCAAGTATTAAGCTGAAATTGGAGAAGCATACTGTAAATCGGGAAAGTTTGGCACCAGTAAATTAATGCAAGTGGCTAACAATAGCACTAACTGCATCGGGAAAGTTTTGCGATACCCTATTAGTTAAGATTACCAATGTCAAAGCTACCTACATGTACTTTTGCTGGTGTTTTTTTGGATAGGTAGCAAGAGGCATGGGGAATGGCAACTCAGTGTCAGTTTTAAACTGTAGATGCATATGTTGTTGTAGTTGACAAGAGAGGTTTGTGTGGTGTGTTTAGCAGAGAGAATAGACTGGCTGTCTTGATTACTTGTAGTTAGTCAACAACTTGATGAGATGTGGCAGGTTGGAGAACTTTGTTGGACTAATTAGGCTTTTGACGTGAAGCGACACTGTGTAATAAGGGAAACACAGGATGAGAGGAATGTTATATTTAATCATGTACTGGCTGGTTTGACAATGTCTGGAAGTGAATTCAAGAAGTATGCCTCCTTTCAAGTCTTGTTTGTTGTTGGTCTGCTAACATAACTGTGACATGACCCTTTTGCGCGTATGTGTCGCTCACAGTTTTCACAGTACTTTCCAGCTTGCAAAACTTTCCCGATGTACGGTATTCCCAGGGATCTGAGGAGTCCGGAACCCTGTCCTTACACACAATCATCAGTTGGTTAACAGCATCAAGTTGACAATCATGGGCCATTCAAACCCAAAATAATGAATGAATCATTTAATATGGATCTACAAAGCAATATGTCATCAATCAACTTCAGTGACAACTAAGCCAGACTGACAAGCGTTTCTACCATAATAGAAGGTATACTCCACTGTTGTTCCAGTAAATGCCACTCCATAGATACAAATATGTTGTCAGCCACCGAGAGTTAAGGACAGATCCAATTCAACTTTTAAGGTTCATATTGGCTTATTTTTAGTTTAAACACATTGATCTGTATTTCAATAGAAAATTGGGATTGGAAAACAAGACAGCGCTTATTTTAATACCTCTCCCTACACAGAAATCAGGTAACAAAGATAGTCAAGGTGTATACATAATATTTACACAAAAAATACCTTGATAGTCAGAATAATGGAATTACACGTAATATTAAGTACTACAAAATGCAGCAAGCAGAAACTGGTATGGACTACTACAGTATGTATGAAACTAAGTATACTTGACACGAATACAAGGAGAGTGCACACACCAACCAGTGACAGAATAGACACTAGTCCTGTAGTCCTTACCAAACTACCAAAACGTTAAGGTATCATTGGGAATATCGGAAGTAAAAATTTAGAATTGTTAGTTTCTATCACAATGGAGATAACTCGAGAGAAAAATCACTTACGCGTTTCCCTCGTTTTGTCCATTAATTTTAAACGGAAACTTCATTTGGGATGATGTTGAGCATTCTAGCATGTGCAATGGTTCTATAAAGGCATTGGCTACTTCTTAAAATTGCATATACTTTGACTTAAATTAGGGTACCGTATTCGACGTAATAAGCGCCCGGGGCGCTCTCAAAATTAGAAATAGGGGGCTCTTATTAGAATATTATTTTGATGGAAAAAAACATAGTTGAAAGATAAATTTCGTTGTTTATGCTGACAGCCTGAAATGATTATGTACGACAGATATATTTTTCCAGATTTTAATTGCCCATAAATAAGGGTGCATATAACATGCGTGTGCGTATTATACCGAATAAATAAGTCTTGTGTACATTGATCAATCGGAAGGGATGCAAATTGGGCTTGTTCACTAGCCAATATATCAGCAAATATCGACGTGGGCGCTTATTAGAGCAGGGCGCTTATTACGTCGAATACGGTACTTGATATTGTCAAATTGTCCCTGCTCGTTTAACAACTGGATGCAGTGATCTCAATAGTTGAAAGACATTTTTCAAATATTGAAGCATGTCAGTGATGTTTTCACTTGGAGTCTCCCCTTGCCTTCCTCTTCACTTGTCCTGCATATCATAACATGAGAAGCACTTTGTACTACTACATAAAGCATGCAGTATTCCTACAATATAATTTGTATTGTTTCGTGACCTCAAAGTTTTTATGTCAACACAAATGTACCGATGCAACAGGGAGCGGTATTTACATGAGCCAGTTAGGCCTGTTTACCAATCCCTTTCAAATTGAATAAAATATGTTTAAACTAATTGTCATTCAAATTTCTGTGAAAAATTTAGACTAAACAATACAAATAATTACGAAATTTGGTAAGCTTGGTTTGTTATGTTATTTGCATGTCCACTATATTTCATGAAGTACAGTCAAGTCTCGTTAATCCGACATCGTTGGTTGCACATGATTGTGTCGGATTAACGAGTATGTCGGATTAACGAAATTAAGTGATTTGTGATCGAAAATCGGACATCTTCACGATAGATAATAACCGTGTGTTTCCTCGTGTAAATGCAAGTGCTACTGTCTTAACAACTTGCTTCATCTACTTAAAATAGTCTGTCAGTGTTTTCTGTTTCTCACATTTCGAAGGCACATTTCTCAAAGTCCCCTGTTCGCTTGACGTCTAGGGCTGGTGGTTCTTCAGCATCAACATTGTCGAGGTGTAATTTCATTTGTTTCTTATCATAAAGCTTGAAATTCTTTATGATCCCGGCATCTAGTGTTAATTGTTAAAGTTAATCTCTGCAGCCAGTGCGTGTCAAAACACGGGGTTGTGTACTCGCGGGTAGATGACCACGGAGTACGCTGACCACTGTGTCGGATTAACGAGACTGATTAATGAGTGATTTCGGTAATTCGTTGCAAATTAGGTGTGTCGGAGTCGGAATGCGAGAATGTCGGATTAACGGGACTAAATAGCGCTGAATCAATCGGTTCCCATCATTTGTGTCGGATAAAGCCGAGTGTCGGATTAACGAGTGTCGGATTAACGAGACTTGACTGTAATGGGCACATGAAAATTCTAGTCGATTGTATTTAGAACTTTTCAAAAAGATTTAAAACATCTTAATCTATTTGTATATAATTTGACTTTTGTTCTCAAAGGGTATTGTAGGTTTTATAAAGAATTTTTCAAACCACCAATGAACATGACAGACAACTTTCCACTTTGTTCAACACTAACCCATTATAACATACTGGCATATTGTCAAAGATATTACTGACACAGTCAGAAATACAGTCAGATTTGACATAATAAAAACTATGTGTGTATGTAAATATGACAAACAAAATAAAACAGTGAATACACAATGACATTTAGAAAGTGGTCAAATGTAACAAATGTTATATTGGGGATAACACTTTCTTAGTAAAGTACAGATTCTAGTACTTTTTTTACACTTGTCAGAGGGGTACTCAAAATACGTGATCTAGACTACCAGTTGTCAGACTTTCATTTTTTGTGGAAGCCTCGCTTGCTGAGTGGGTTAGATCTCTGACTTTGTGTGCTGCTGATTAGGTGCCTCACTCTGGCAGATTGGGTTCGAATCCCAGAAGGGACACAACCCAAAAAAGTACTAGAATCTGTACTTTACTAAGAAAGTGTTATCCCAAATATAACATTTGTTAAAAATAAAACAGTATGGTCATCAAGTTTGTTTTGGAGTAAAATTTTGTTGAAAGGTAAGCAGTCTCTGAAAATTGTCCAAATTTCGTTTCTTTTCTTTTTCCACATTTTTCCAAGGGGAGGTTTATTCATTGAAATTTACTATTTAATATGAAACAACTTATTATCACAATATTCTTTCAATTTTGCACTCAATCTTAGTGAACTTGTACATGTTTGGAATGTTCATGTTCACCTGATACCTGAGACTGTTCATATCTTGAAGCAATCGTACATTATATGTCACTAACCAAAAATACTGATTTTGGAGCTAATGACAATGACCTTTCAATATACTGTCAGGAAGACAAATATCAAATAAACAGCATTTAGGATTAAAGGTAGAATTAAATCAAACTTGTTAAAATATCTTCTCAATTTCTACTGATATAATATGCCTTTTCCCCTTGGACCTTCAAAGTACTGGCAAGATTTAAGCACATATCACATCAAATATGCATTTTGTTGAGTTAATTTTACAGGCTGAAGTAACATGCTCTTATCTGTAAATATCTGTTAAGAATCTATCAGCATATGCATGTTTCACACAAAATATTCAGTTAGCAAGCTTGACAAGTGAAACAGTGAATGTCTTCTCTTTGCAATACATCTAAAGTACCTAATTACCTTGATACTGAGAAGGGTGCATGTTGGAAGATGCTACAGCGTCACTAAACATATAGCTACAGCACCACCAGCAGCAGCAGCAAACTGACGGCGTCAGCAGTCAGGGAAGTCTGCTACGTGTACAACTTTTACTGGAACCTACACACATCATGAATATCTTATGGCTTATCTGTAAGACCATAATCACCACATGTGTGGGTGGGAACTCTTGTAGGCCATATCATGTGGAAATAATCAATATCATTTCTTTCTAAAAGCAGACTAACAGCGACTTTGTCACTGTCTTTGACATTCAGGTAATTGACTTGCATCTTATCTTAACTTAAGAAGTGTGCTAAGTTATCATGTTATTTTTAATAGCAATCAACAGATATTCACCAGGTTGTCAACAAGCAGCCAACAGTCGCCAATGATTCAAGGTGTCCCCCATTATGGTTGCACCATGGGTTACTGATCAAGGTTCTCCTTAATAATATTATAAATATTGGACACTGATCAAGGTTCTCCATAATATTATTATAAATATTGGACACTCATCAAGGTTCTCCATAATATTATTATAAATATTGGACACTGATCAAGGTTCTCCTTAATATTATTATAAATATTGGACACTGATCAAGGTTCTCCATAATATTATTATAAATATTGGACACTGATCAAGGTTCTCCTTAATATTATTATAAATATTGGACACTGATCAAGGTTCTCCATAAT